TGTAAATATATTACAACGATGTAGGGTAAACATATTACAACTTTTCAATATGAGATTTAACAAATTTCAAAATGTGGCGGAGGTACTAGAAGGAGTGGACCGATAAGTCCCACCTTCCAATAATATACAGGCTTGTTGTGTATAACGATGTGTAAAGTTTGGTTCTAATCGGATAGTCCGTTCGCACGATATTGTAAAATAGATTTAAGCAATTTGTTGACCATTCTATTTGGCAGTTACCAGAAGGAGTAGAAAGATATTCCCTATATTCGATTTTGATTTAAAAGAAATATTACCATGTGCAAAGTTCGGAAGAAATAGGTTACTCCCTTCGAGAATTATTTTGCGCACCAGCCAGCTAGACACAGACAGATGAAAATTTGTAAATCGACTCCCAATTGTCTAAAACGGATTTTGTCCAAAGAAACATGGAATCCAAAACCAATATTTCGATGAAACACATTTAGCCTTAGCAAAGTATATATACCCCCCTCATTAGTCATATGGCTGAGGGTATAAAAATACTCGATCCAGTAGTACTTAAAAATATATTCTATAAAAAGAAATCCTATAATAGTCCTCCTTTAGTACCTGAAAAAAGAAATCTTTAAAACTCTGCATTAAAATTCAGTTAACCTGGTATTTTTATTTAAGTAAAAAACATCAAACTCTGTAAATGTTTTATTTCATTTTATTGATACACATAAAAACTACATCACTCCGCCTTTGCAATAGTGAAAGTTTCATTCAGATGTCTCCATTCATTGCCGTGTTATGGCCATTTGAATTTGACCATGTGTCAAAATATAGCTGCTACACGATTCTGTTTGCCTAGTACGGCAAATGGGGAAACTGACGAAATTGCAAATCCACAAAACCAGAAGCATTCAGATGTGTTGCCAGATTGTTTGCTTTGTGTTACCATGTTAGTTTGCGATATTATGAGCATACTTTTAGGCGTTACACATTACAGACAACAATCTGGCAATACATCCTGAATTTTTCTGTTTTTATGGAATTGCAAATTCTTCAGTTTTCTCATTTGCTGTACCAGGCAAACAGAATCGTGTAGCTGCTATATTTTGATACAGAGGCAATTTCAAATGGCCATAACTTTGCAATGAATGAAGATATTTGAATGAAACTTTCACTATTGGATAGAGATAGTGATGCAGTTTTATTCCAAGTTTGATAGTTTTTTTTTTAACTAAAAACACCATTTATGAATTGCATAGCAGAGTTTGAAAGAATTGGAGGATTATTATGGAATTGTTTTTGTATAAAAAAATATTTTCAAGGACTACTGGATCTTGATTTATTTTCCTTATAGGCGTGAATTTGTGTACCTTAGACTTGTGGCTAATGAGGGAGGGTATATACACTTTGCTACGACAAAAATGTGCCTCATCGAAATATTGGTTTTAAACCCCATTTTCTTTGGATCAAATCCGTTTCAGACAGTTTGAAGTCGATTTACAAATTTCCGTCCATTCAGACCTGCTTGATAGGCTTCTTCTAGGTATTCACGCTTGTACCTTTGGATCATGAAGATATCTTTAGATCATGAAGATATTTCCTGACGTCCCTGGGCGGGGGAGTCCTGTCCATAAGACTATGGCAGGGATGTTCCCGACGATAGCACCCAAGCAAGTACTGCATCGAGAACATATAATTGTGACGATGAACGGGTAAGACCTTCGTCTCCTCATGAAGATGGTCCACAGGAGTCATGAGGAGACACCCTGTGGCTGTTCTCAGGGCAGCATTCTTACCACTGACCGGAGGTTAACAAGGTTTCTATTTCAGCGCCCCAAGTGTTGCCGGCTAGCGGCTTGAGGACCTTGTTCCTACTTCTCAGCTTATCGCATAAAGCAGTGGCTTTCGCAGACGACTTGAAAAGGCTGTCGAACGTTACTCCTAGTATCTTGGGGTAGTTCGTGGTCGGAATCAGTTCTCCATCGACCATTATGTTCAGTGGGAGCTTCATTTCAGCCGTCCATGTGGTGAACAGTGTGGCTGTTGATTTGGTGGCCAATATTTTCATATTCCTCAGATGGAAGAAGTTAACAAGATCGGCTATGTAGGCGTTTAGCCTCCCACATATATCATCAATAATGGACCCGACACCATGATCGTACAATTATCCGCATACATTACGATCTCTATGCCCTTCGGTGGTTGTGGAATATCAGAAAGGTAGAGGTTTTACAGTTCCGGAGATATCATCCCTCCTTGGGGAACTCCCTGTTTCACTCTACGGGGTTTAGACTTCCTGTTTCTGAATTCCACATTCGACTGGCGTCCAAACATATAGTTTATTATCCAACGTTTCTAACACGGTCGGAGATTTGTCCTATATATATCTTCCAACAGCTCGGCATGGTTGACGGTATTGAAGACCTTCGATAGGTTAAGTGCCACCATAAATATTCGGTTGCACGGCCTTTTCTGGTTGAGTCATCTGTTAATATGTGTGGAAATAGCGTGTATTGCTGTTGTTGTGCTGTTCATCTTACGGAATCCATGTTGGAAGGAGTTGCGCCTCAAGTGTCTTTGCTGCCGGCAGCAGGAGTGAAATCGACCTGTACGATTCACCCCTGCTGACATCCTTGCCAGGCTTCAGTTACTCTCAATGAATTATCGGTTAAAATAACTCTGTCACAGTTACGTCGTTAAATCTAACAGTCGTCCTGTCATCCTTCCTTCCAGGATTCGAGAGTGACTTAACCGTTGCCCACAATTTACTTGTTCCGGTGGCAATGTTGCATTGTTGTTCTAGATTATAGTGTTGGGCGCCATTTGTGCCTTTTATATTTTTCTGACCTAGCTTGTAATGTTGGGCACCATTTGTGCCTTCGATATCCCTCTTACCTGGCTTTTAATGTTGGGCGCCATTTGTAGCTTCCATACTGTCAATCATGCCACACTAATTAAAAATGCTGAGACCTAGCTGGTAATGTTGGGCGCCACTTGATATCCGCCTGTCCTAACTTTTAATGTTGGGCGCCATTTTCGGACTCCATTAAAAAAATATATATACTTACATGGCTTCTTTAGGATTTCAATAATAAATGTAATTTTATTTTTTATTCATTCATTTTCATTTATATTTCTTCATAATATATATATGCATGTATTTTGTTGTATGTAGTACAATCACCTTCTTGTTATTGTTGTTTTCTTTATGATAAATATATATATTTATATGTATAATATTTAAGTTTTTTTAAGTTAATAATTATAATAATAGATTTATTGTTTATTTGTTTGTTGTTCGACGATTATCGAAGATATTCTTCGGTATAATACGTGGGGGTTGATTTCAATTAATTTTTTGTTGAGTTAGAGGAGAAAATACAAACAAACATATTGGGTGGGAGAAAAAAAGCGCACTAAATTTTGATTAAGTGGGGAGAAATTTTTGAGTTTGGCATAGGAGGGGTTTTTAAAGATTTGTGTGGTTTTTAAGGCCTTGTTTCAAAAGATTTGTATAGAGAAGCACCAAAAGAAATAGGGCAAAAAAAAATACACAAAATTTAGGTAAGCGTACATTATTTATAAAGAAAAAGAAAATATATATTTTTTTTGTACAATCCATTTAATTATTTTTTATTATAACTTAGAAAATTATATTTTGTGCCAGTTATTTAATTAGTAATTCAGAAAAAATTGCATTTTTTATATATAATATATAACTAAAAAAATAATGTAAAAAAAACTATTATTCGAAACAACAAAAACTTAATAATTAATACACAGCTTGGCTGAAATGGTTTTACTTATTTAAGGTGAGAAAGTAAATTCTAGCAAAAAAAAATTGGTTTATCTTAAAAAAAAAATTGTATATGTATGTAAATGAAATGTACCAGACACAACGACGACGACGAATGAGAATGTTTGCTGTTCCATTACAAAAAAAATATTGTAAAAATAAATTAAAGAGAGAGGCAATAAATCCATTAAAAAAATAAATTAATAATTCAGCAATGGATTTAAATTGTTGCTGTTCTTCTTCTTCTTCTTGCCTTACAAAACCTAAATAATTCATTATTCAATTTTTTCATATTCTTCTTCTTCATTTTCTATATCTATATACAAATTCATGGAAAGAAAACGACTTATTCTCTAACTAACAAATTTACGATCCATTGCATTTCCTTCTTATTATTTTTTTAATATCAAAAATTAATATTAATTAAAAAAATAAAATAAAACAAAATATCACATATTCAAAAAAAATTACAAAATGATTTCAATGGAAAAAATGTTACAAATTCAAATACTAAAGCAAGCTGCCACGTTGTGTGCCAATAAAGCAGGTCCACGTTGGGCGCCAATAAAGAAGCTCGACATCAATGGAGCAGACCCCACGTTGGGCTGCTTCATTGGCACTCAACGTGAGAGCTTCCTTTATTGGCGCCCAACGTGAGCAAGCCTCATTGCAACCCATAGTGGGGCTTGCTTTATTTGGCGCCCAACGTGAGACCTTCTTTAATACTTATTTAATTTAAAAATTTAAAAAAACAGTAAAAATTCACATTAAATAAAGAATCCATAAAATGGTTATAATACCAAAAATAAATCACTTGTTGTTGTTTTTTTCCTACAAACTAAAATTATCATAAACTTCTTCTTCTGCTGCTGCCATAGCCCACAGGAAAGAAACACATCATTAATAATAATTTGTGTGACTAGCTAGTTTTTTTGATTACTTTTTTTTAAGACTTTTAAAACTTTGCCTTTGGCATGCCTGCCACATCTTTTCCAATTAGCATCCTAATTGGAATGCATTTAATTATTATCAGCATAATTGTCAAGCATATAGAAATACTTTACTTTTTTGCTATTTTTCTTTTCATTGTTTAAAGGGGGGATGGGGAATATGGAATAGTATTTCTTTTTTGGTATAAATATTGAGAAGGAAGTTTGTTATTCAAAAATATTTTCTTGTTGTTGTTGTCTTCTATTAGTTATTGTGTTTTTGTAACAAGCATTGTTTTTTATATAGGATAGCCCAGGGCAGCCGATAGCAGCGGTTCCCAGGAACGATTTATATCCATATAGAGCATGGTGCATTGTTCAGCTATGATGTCATCTTCATCCAATACACAAATGGGGAACAAGTCATTCTGAAAATAGAGAAAGAAAATATTTTTTAACACTGAACACTTCGAAGTTTTTGAATGACGAAAAGTAAGGTGTTTGTGCAATAAACGGTTTGGTAAGATGAGTAGATTTGGCTGGGCAATTGAATAAGTGCAGTGTGGTATGAGGACCCGTAACACATGCTGGGTAGACATCCGGCACCTGTGTCCAATACGAATTGAGACGACTGCACCATCCTGAACGTAATTTAGCCAAAACTACTCTGATTTGTCTGGGCTGTTGACGTTCTTCAGCGGCTATGAGTGTGAGCTCCGATGACGACATTAAATCTGTTTCCGTTCAGCGCTGCGGCTACTGCATCAGTATGAATGCTATTTCGACCTGTTCGATAGGCAACCTGATCTATAGTCTCCTTTTTTTAACATTGGACCTCTCTCTAGGTCATACACAACCTTCCAGACACGCCTGGTTGGGGGAGTTTTATCCACCCGGTAGTACAAAATGAAAAAATTCGCTGTTGCAAACATAAATTTCCTGTGAAAAAAAATTCAATTCTGGGGGGCCCGGGCCGACCCCCTGCGTACGTCCCTGGTTAGGATGATTGCACCTGAAGCTGACTAAAGATATGATATTCATCTCTTCATGAAGATGTTCCACTGGTGTCATGAGGATGCACCCGGTTGCAGTTCTCAAGGTGTCGTTTTGATAGGCCTGAATACATATCAAATGCGTGGCACTAGTATTCGCAGGCCACATACCAACCTATCGCCTTGTAAGAGGCGAACAAGGTTTCCTTATCTGCGTTCAAGAGTTATCGGCCAACAACTTGAGGGCTTCGTTTCTACTTTTCAACTTATCGAAGATTGCTGTGGTTTGAGCGGACGATATGAACATAATCGAATGTTACCCCGAACATTTTGAAGTAGTTTGTGGTCGAAATTGTATGCCCTTCGACCTGCATATTCAACGACATTCTTATCTCCGCAGTCCATATTCCTCGCGTGGAAGAAGGCTTCCATCTCGACGAGATAAGCGTTCAACTTTACACATATGCCCTCAACGATAGGACTTGACGTCATGATCGCATAATCATCTAAATACATCGTCTGGAGGGCGTGGAATGCCGGAAAAGTAGAGATTAAATTGTTCCGGAAATATAATTTCACCCTGAGGAATTTTCTTTTTCACTCTACCGGATTTGAACTTTTTATTTCGGAACTCCACGTACGACTGGCGTACACACACATAATTGATTATCCACCGTTTCAAAAGTGTTCTCGATGTCCTCAAATAATGTGGCATGATTGATGGTATCAAAGGCTTTTTTTAGGTCATGTACTACCAACATTGATGTATGACACTGCTAGTTCTGGTCCTCCACTTATATATGTGTGGAGATGACGTCCTTGTGTAGAGATGATGTCCTTGACTGGCTTCAGTAGCAGTAACTGTCCTGTCCATTGTTCGGAAACGATGTGGATGGCTATCGACAAATTGAGGACATTGGTCAGGTACTTAAATACAGCCTCGTCCAGCAGTTTCAGCATAACCATGGATATTCCGTCGGGACATAATGCTTTAGATGACTTAGCACCACGGATGACACATGGAGCATCACCCGTTATAAAGGGTGGTGGTACCTCCTCGGCGGGAAGATATCTTATATGAATTGTTGTTGTGGCAGCAGCACTACTGCTTTTACACAATGGGCTGAGATGACAGACGTTGGCCGAGTAAAACTATACACCTCAGTGGAATTGTAGTACTTTTCGCTTCACACTGCCGCTCTCGGGATGCTCGACAAACTGTCGGTTAAAATAACTTGCGCATCTCTTCGGATCAGTCACAGTTTCGTCGATAAATGTGACTAAAGTCCTATCATCCTTCTTAACAGGGTACGCGAGTGACTTAACCGCTGTCCATAGTTTACTCACACCGTTTCCGACGTTCTGCTAGGGAGTTATATCGATGACGCTCATTTGATAGACCAACTGCTTCTGCTAGGGAATTTGGTCTCATCTCTCTTTCTGCTACCCGTACATCAGAAGGAATGAAAAGTTCTCTGAAGCGCCGGAGGTTGAAATCTGTGAATCCTTGCCAGTTGGCTTTCATGGTGAGGTGTTCTGAGCCAAGAGAAATGACAGGCTGTCAGTTGTCGTCATTTATCAGACACAATGGTTATGTCTGGTGAACTGTGACACTCTCCCCTTATTCTGGTGGGGCATCCTCATTTACCGTGCAGAACGTGAAGCTATCAAGCACTGCTCCCCTCTGGTCATTACCTAGGACGGAATGCCACAACTCATGGTGGGCATTGAAATCTCCTAACACCAGACGGTTATTGTCCTCCAATAGAAAACTAATGTTGGCAAATAACGCGGCTCACAGCTTTTAATCGGCGGTATGTACACGTTAAGCACATCCACATCGACTGTACCACATTTAACATTCTATATATGGGTCACTAGAGTCAAGCTCAAGCGAGATAGGCCTGTATTGAACAGAGTGGTGCTAGGCCCCCACCTCCACTTCTGGTGCGATCCTTCCTCAGAACGTTGTAACCAACGTTGCAGCAGCAATGATGTCACGGAATTTCCTTTCTGCTAGCCGTACATCAGAACAAATGGAAAGTTCTCTGAAGCGCAGGTTGGCAAACTCTCTGAAACCTTGCCAGTTTACTTCCTTATGGTTAAGGAAAGTGTGGCGTTCAGAGGTGATGAGACCTCTTGAAGACCTTCAAAGTATAATTCCTGGTCTCTCTTACACTTCTCAATTAAATACTGAATTATTGAGGAGCTTTCATTTGGACTTGAGGAATGTTTTGAAGTTATAGAAATCTTATTGAAAATTTGCGTTTAAAAAAAGAGGCCTATTTTACTAAAGAAGAAAAGGAATTCCAAAAAAGCTATTCTGCTATAAAATTTCCCGAGAAGAAGGATTTGCTAGTATAGGGCATTTTTTGTGTGTTTTACTATGGTGAGCCGGAGACTCTTTAATTGAGCTATTAGACATTCTGGATGAACTTCTTTTTAGAAGAAATGAAACAAAAATCAGTGCCAAAATACCACGAAGTTTGATAGTAGTTTGTCATTGTGTTCAATTTTTCCACTTCCTGCATTTCAATAATTTGTTTTAAGTACATAAACAAAAATTATATATTAAACTTACATTTTTAGCCTGCCACAGCTGTTCCAGCAAACGTAGAAATCTTTGCATTTCGGTGCTGCTGGCAAAGAATATCACCAAATCATCCGAACATTCGCGTACCTCTTGACATGAAAATTCCAAAATACACCACCATGTATCGGTGTGTGAGGGTATTTTAATGCCAGTCATTTCTTTGATATCGGCGCATGTTAAAATCTCTAAACCAGAGTTTTTACCATAAACACTACTCATGGTGCTGTGGCGACTGGAACGTGGTGGTGTTGTAGATTGCGATTGTTGCCTGTCTTGTTGTTGAGTATCGGCGGCAATAAGTTGCTTAGATGTTGCAGCAGCTACTGTTGAGCGCATTGAAAAATATGCTGGTGTAATGGCGACATTATTGCTAGCCAACGATGATGCCAAAGTGGTATTACATGTTGTTGTGGAACGTGATAGTTGCGAAAGCTTTGTTGGTGTTGAATTTATCGATGACTCGGAACGTAGAGTGTTACGTGTTGGAGTGCTCATGGCAGAGCTTAACTGTAAAGTAAAGAAAATCAGTTTAAAATAATTGGAATATTTTTGTAAGCTATTTTGAACTTACCAAACTTCCAGTTTCTGGTAAATATTGTTCTTCTTCTGTTGTTGTATTTGTAGCGTTTAAAGATTGGGTTTCCGTTTTGGTTAGAGTATTATTTTCTTCCTCCTGCTTTAGCTTTCGAAGTGGAGCAGTAAAGTCCTCTCGGAGAGTTATTAAGTGATTTTGTGTCACCACCAAAGTACAGCCCAATGTCTTGTGTTTCTCTTGCATTTCAAAGAGCTGCAAAAAAAAATAAAAAAATACATTAAATCAAGTTTATGTTTTTTAAGAAAAGGATTCCTACCCCACTTGCCGACTGCAATAAAGCCTGTAACCATTCGGAGGCCACATATTCATCGGGTGCCGCCAACTGCAATAGCATTTTATTTTTCAGCATTATTTCAAAACAGTGAGGCCTTTGGGCTTTTACTGCTCTCCGGGCACCTTGACATTCGGCCAAAGCCATGGCCCAACTGGGTATTTTTTGTGTCGAATCATTGAACATGTACAATACGCCAGCTCTATAAAATAAAAATTAAATTTAAAAATTAATTTCAAAATCATTTTTTACTTCCTCTCCATCCATACTTTAATAGAAAATATCCCGGATTCCATGGATGTTGTTTAGATGTGGTATTGCTCATATTTTCCTTGACACGTCGATGCATTAGAAAACCTTTGGCATGCGGTCCCAAAGGTTCCTGTTCTCCAGTCTCACCCAATGCGGAGCCGGGTACATTAACCACGGCATAATACATCCAAGCATCATGTTTACCCACACATGAATTTTCCCGAACAAATTCTTGTAACGGGGCTAAGTGGTCTAGTGTCAGCTGACCAACAGCTGGTAGTATGGAACCACTTCGCCGAGCACACAATTCTAAATTAGCAACTAAACCTGCTGCTGGATATGGACCACCGGCCAATAGAACTTGTTGTTTATCCCGTGTGCTATTCGAGAGCAAAACTGTGTTACCATAGGGACCCATCTGAAAGTAAAGGAAAAATATAGAAATTATTTAAAAGAAAAAAATTAGATTTCAAATTGTAGTTCCGCTGTACTAGATCTTTAGAAAGCCAACAGAAAATTGTTGGAAGTTTCTCGATTAAAATAACTCCAATATTATGAAAGGATGCTATAAAACAAGAAAATACTCCCGACCTCTACGAAGCCTTGACACTGTAGTTCTTAAGTATAACAGTTTTCAATGAGATATTCTTGACTTAGGGCTCTCAATAAAAAAAGGTATTCCATGAGGCCTTCCGCAGTAGATGATGGCTTATAGAATGGTACTAGATCTTTAGAAAGCCTATAGAAAATTATTGGAAGTTTCCCGATTAAAATAATTTCAATGTAAAAGGTTGCTATAAAATAAGAAAATATTTTATGAAAAATAGTTCTGCAATAGAATGTCGTTTTAGAGAAGACATTCTATGCTGTCTTCATTACTAATTCTTTAAGACTTCAATAAGACTGTCGGACCGCAGAAAACGTACACATTTCAGAAAACCTCTCGCAGAACTTTTAGCAGAATAAACTGTGAAATATATTATAGCTTTTAAATAACTTCAGAAGTTTTAGATTATATCTGAAAATGTGTATAACGACTTTGGAGTTTTTACTAATAAAACCCCTCACAAACAATCGACTTTTATGGACCTGCTACAAAAAATAATCTTTTGAAGAAAACTATTTAATTTACCGACCATTTATAAACTTACCAATATAACATCCAGTTCCCGATAGGCCAAAACAAATTTCGAACACAAACGATTGCGTACCAGATCCGTAACATATATCGATTTATCCGTTAATAGCACCAATACCGGTGTCATATAACCCTCTTTACTATAACCAGTATATAGTTTGAAAACTTTCATCAATTGTTCAGTGACATCTTTTAGAATACTCAATTGTACACCGGCAAATACATCAATAGATATTTCACCAATACCCAACTCGAAACGTGACAAATCTCCTGGTAAATCACTCTCCAAATTAGCCAATTCTTTGCGTGGTGAATTAACCCCTGACATTTCAATTTCCATAGCAATTTCAGCATTTAAATCTTCAATCAACTCCAAATTACGTGGTTTTGCACCTTTCACATACAAATTGCCGGTGAAGAGTTTCTGTTCCGTTTTCAATTTCTGGGCAAAGAAATTGTTACGTCTTATCGACGACTCGAGTATTTTCTTTTGCGTGACGTTGCGTAGAAAACGATTTATCAACGATGTTTTAGCTGGTGGTTGTGGCGGTTTCAAGAGATTACCATATTCGATGGCTGCAGCACCGCCATTACTGCGGTCACTGACATCTTGATAATCAACAATAACAATGTCGCTTTCATTGCGTTCCGTATCGGTTGTTATGGTCAGAATATCATCGAATTCTTCACTTAAGATGGTACTCTTTGAGTCACGACCACTGCCACCACGAGCACCCATCATATATAGATCAGGACTGAACATGGCCATGTCGGCATGAAGACTGCTTTGATGCATTTGCGATGCTGATGATTGCTGAAGATGCTGCTGCTGCTGTTGTTGGGCACCGGCACTACTACCATATCTCTGTGGTGGATGTTGTTGTATGAGTGTAGAACCAGCAACACTTAAACGTTTCTTAATCGGCGAGGGTAAATGACGTGATTGTTTTTCGAGATTACTTCGTAGATCGGTGCCGATGGCAAGACTTTCACCGCGTGGTGTTGATGGCAAGCCACTGCTGCCAGTGCCACTGGCAATGCCACTTGTTAGGGAAGTACTCGATTTGTGATGCTGTGCTGCCGTTTGATGATTTTGTGCCGAATTGGAAGTTGTAGTTGTTGTTAATTCCGATATGGTCGATGATGATGATATAGAGGGGAATTTTGTTGGTGTGCTGCTAGCCAAAGGAACTGCATTTGCAACGCTGTTACGTTTGGGCATTTTAAGTGCTGTAATGGGAAGACAAGATGAGATATTTCGAATTCCGAATAGTGAACATAAAAGGAAAATGGGACAAATGAAAAGTATGAAACACAAGGCGATACATAAACAAATATATATAGAAATACTATGGAAGATTCGTAATCTTTTTAGCAGAAATTATGAATCATAGCAGTTCTGCCGAATCTCTTTTGTCTATAGAAAAACTTCAAGAGCTCTTAAAATTTTAAATACCTCTAAAAACTTTTCCGTCTTTAAAAAATTGTTAAGAACTCTTTAATTTAGATTTATATGAAACATAAAAAGTTTCTGAAAGGTCCCTAATCATAATAATACTTTTGGAAGGTTAAATATACATTTTCAATTTCAATTTAACAGATATAATATCTAAGGAAGACCTCCTCAATCTATGGATAATTTCAAGAAAACTTTCTTTCTAAATATGACCTTCTGTACCTCTTGTATCAGTTAAAGCCTCAGAAAAGGTTTTATATCTAGAAACTCTATAAAAAATTTGATTTGTAAAAGGTATTTGAAAGAAGTGGCATCAGTAAAAGTGTTCGGAAGGTCTGGCAGCAGACCAGAAGCTTTTCGGTAGGCCTTTTAACAAAATAAACTATGGAATTCTGTCAAGATGAATATATCTATAGAGGATATTGTATAGCTTTTGAATAGCTTTAGGCGTTCTAAATTATTACCGAAAAATCATATAGGTATAGAAATCCCTTTTTAAGATCTTCTGAAATGAATAATTCTCGAAGCTAAAAACCCACGGTAGATATTTAATTATCGACCTATTCAAAACATTCTTCTGATTACAGACGACATATTTACCGACACATTTAGCCTCTATAGAACATAAAAAGCAAACCAAAAATAACTTCTCTACTCCTTTTACGAAAATAAAAGAAAAAACAACATACCAAAATAGCTCTCTGTAGCCTCTTGCATTTTCTTGGCCTCGTCTTCCTGTGCTTGTTTGCTGCTGTGTTTATTGTTATTCAATTTCTTTGGTGATGTTTTATCCTTTCCAGAATCTTTAAAACTGCGAAAGAAATTGGAAAATGTCTTAGCCAAGGGGGCTGTCATAAAAGCACTTTTCAAAACTTCCGGTTCTGGTTGAGCAATGGGCGTGTCTTTTTCAATTAAACTAGCAATACTGCCATGTAAATCGTCCATATTATTGAGATCATTAAATGATGATGTTTCATAGCAATACGAGACACCGGTGTGTTCGAATACAGTACTCTCACAGTTGATAATGAATTTATTGCGGAATGGTGTACGATCAGTGGTTGTCTCACATGTCGATGAGGCAGTAGAAGAAGCTGTGGCTACAGCCACAGCAGCAGCACCAGCATTAAACAAATCTGTATCACTTTCAAATTCCATTTGACGCACCAAGTGGGGTGTTGTTTTCGTTGAAACATCTTTGGGAGGTTCATCGCTATTTTGTCGTGTAGCTGTGTAAATATCTTCTTCCTTGTTACGTCTCAATTGTTCATCGACATTGTGTACAAATTTCTTAATGGGTTGTTGTTGCTTCGAGCCATCTAGGCTTTTACTTAGAAATGGTTTGGCCTTTAGTGGTGGTGATTCTGGGCGCTCTGCGAATTGTTCCATTTCCCGGGGTTTTGGATGATGTTCTGGTGTCTGTTCCAATTCGGATAGACACTCCACAACTGCCTGTAAATCTTCTGAACCCTCGGGTACACCCCGTTCCGGTAATGGCATTGTAAAGATGCTTTTCAATGAACCAAATATCATTTTACTGCTGTTATCCAGTAGCTGGTTCATGTCATGGACATTAAACTTCTTCATTTTAGTATTGAGATCTTGTTCGTGTATAATATTGGTATGGCATTTAGTTTTCTTGAGGCAACTTGATTTGGGTTTCTTTTCCTTATTCCATACGGATTTTTGTCGTGGTGGACTCTCATCAAAATCAATATTGGGTTCTGAATAATAACAATTGTCACCTAAGGCAGAAACACAAATAAGAAATGTTAATTATGTGAAGCAATTGAAGGATGATATTGAATACATACCAATTATATTATTATTGGCATTACTCATACCAATACAATCACAGGAGTTACTCTTGGCTTGACCATAACTTTGACCACCATTTGAATTTTTATCATTTTCATCGGAGTCGAGACTTGAATTCGAACTGGAACATGAGCATTTATAAAGTTCAGGTTTATTTTCCGTTTTCTCAGCTGCAGCAGACTTTGGGGGTTCTACGGCATTTTTCTTTTCATTGGGTGCATATTCAAAGACTCCCGAATTATCGTATTGTAAGCATTGGCTTTCATTCATATCGTATATGTCGGAATTGCCGTAGTCTAGCACATCGGAACAGGCATTACGATATACCACACGACCTCTACGTTTGGGCCCATCTCCACCGGCCGCCGTTTCATCTCCCTCATCACCTTCCTGAGAATTACAAAGTTCTGCAGAACGCTGGCGATCACCTTCCGAACACCAAGAATAACGTCCTGCCTGGCCCATTGCCGGGGCCATACGTCGTTGTACACCCGCCTTGTAGGTTATAAAACCATGCTCAATGTGTATATTATCGGTGCGAGTATTTTTCAGTATATCTTCATGGAACGACACCCGTTTCTTGGGCGCCTTTGCCACACTGGGTGTTTTACGTACTTTACGCCGATAGACAATATTTTCGGTTGTATCGAATGTTGAACATTGACTTATTGTCATGGCTTCTTCCACTAAGGCGGCCCCAACAACTGCATTGTTGGCCACCGCTGTCACTCCTGTTATATTCGAATTACTATCCATTACCGTTGTCTCTTCGGCTGGTATCACAATCAATGCATCCTTATTTTGGCCTTTTTCCACCCGTCCCAACTCCATTGGGGCTTTGGCATTTTCCTCAAACTCAAAACCAGTTTGTGAGGTAATGGACTCGGCCATTAATTCGCTGGATTCCGAATCCAACATTTGTACACCCGAATCACTGGGTGTGGTATCATCCATGGTGGTGCTACTATTCATGCTCGATGCCATTTTATCGATATAATTAAAATTACTTCCCGACTCAATTAGTTTGTTCTGATCAAATGCGTTCATAAGTGCAAAACTGCCACGAGTACCACTTTCTGGGAATTTCGATACCGCATATAGCGGTGATTCCATTACAACATCATAGACCGATGGTGATCTAGCCACAAGTGTTTCTGTATGTATATATCAATATCAGAGTTAAATGGAGAGTAGAAATTAAGTTTTGCAAATTTGGTTTTGTATTGAAAACTTTATGCAAAATTAATAGCTTCTTGGAGAGGTTTGTATTCAATATACATAGAAGGGTTTGGATTATGTTTCTTTTTTAATGTTTACTTTTGGAATTTGATTTTTTTCAATATTTTTTTCTAGTTGCCGATTATCTTTGTATTGTGGTGGTGGTGGTGGGAAGTGGTGATGATTTGTATATGTTGATGAGTATCTTAAAATACAAAAACAAAACAAGATTTAAATTAATTGAAATTTGGATAAAAAATAATAGGTATACTTTTTGATCATTTTTATAGCAAATATAAAAGGTGTTAAATTTTTTAATGTCGAATAGTTGGATAGCTTGGTTTTGTGTGAAAAAGTAATGACTTCGAAATGCTACTATTTTATAGTCAAGAATAAAAGCCGTGTCAACTCTGAAGTTATACATTTTCCGACGAGTCGTGCTATAACTTTATTCGGGAAATTCTTTCACGGATTGTATAAAACGCTTCAACACTAAATATTCTTCTTCCAATATTATATATTATCTTATAAGGTAATAACGTCATCGTCACATAAAGTACCAGCATCATTCAACATAATTTTTTTCAATTAACACTGTATTCAGTATACATAATAAAATATCATTTTGTAAAAAAAAAACAATTGAAATTGTATGCTCTTCTTCTTGCGTCTTTAAAGAATAATCTAAAAAAGAAGAGCAAAATAAAAATCAATATTCACTTGAAACAAAGAAAGCAGGCAGGCATACTGACTAACTGACTGCATCGTTGGAATATAACACCGGCCAAATGCACAACAACAACAACACGGTAAAAGGGGAGAAAAAGAAAATCACAGAAAAACTACGTTTAGATTTCACAATAGATTCCGCACTTGTATCCCATCAAAATGCATATCCATCCCCGCCCCAACAAAATCCTCCCCCTTTTTGGCCTTTATTGTGTACTCTATATTATTTTCTCACTCCAATCTCCACTTGTTTCATTTCTATCGCCCCACTAGACCGAACGTCGTCATCATATGCATTTTACATTACACACGCACACACATACTCATACACCGACAACAACAATAGCAACACTACACATTTGGGGGATGTATACACGCACCCCATTTGCCACCCAATTTTTCACACAAAACACACAAGTACACAATGAAAATTGATTTTTTGTCGTCGACTTTGTAGGGATATAAGTATGCAAAATCCTAAAATAATATTTTTTTCTTTATGAGAATTGTTCTATTTCGAACTTATTTACCTTCAATTTGTTGGGGAAAATCCATTTTTTGTTTTTATTACCAATTGAATTGAGGATAATAACCCGTTTGTTTTTATTTAAATAATAAAATACTTTTGTACATTCTTGCTAGCTCCAAGTTGCTCCACCAGAAAATGTTTTAGGTTTCTATAGATCGATTTATGACTATATGGCTGATTACATCGATAAGGTGGATATCGATAGTTTTCTTTTGTAACCAAGCAAATCGTCGTTGTTTGGAGACATCGATTTTTGCTTGCTGCTGGATTTTATTTATGTTGTAAATCTAGAATGGAAATTAAAGGAAATCTTTACATAAATTAATAAAACTAAAAATATTAACAAAAATGACAAAACACTTAAAACGTATGAAAGTGAAAAAAAGTCAATAAATCACAATTGTGCTCTATAGGACTATTGTCTCTTTTTACTTATCAAAAATTGTCAGAAAACTAAAAAAAACATATGGATTTCAAGGGAGTTAGTGAGAGGGTTACTGTTTGGTATAACTCAGAAACAAAGCATAGACAATATAGGGTTACTTACCCGAAAACCATCAAGAAAGGCACTTATTTCCTGAAAAGAATCGGAAAGCCATATTGGCTTTCACAAAAGCTCATATCAATTGGAATCCGACTCAGTGAAGATATATTACATCTAGATTTCTGCAGTACGGGAATATACCAATTATGTTCCCGGTTCAATTAAGTTTAATATTTAATAGTTTGTTTACATTGTGCCGGATTTCGTCAATTCCATTGTATACATGTCAAATAAATCCTCATCCTTAACCCGGTAAAAAGTTCTAATATAAATGCCGTTTAAGGCTCAGATACGAAAAAATTTGAGGTGAGAAGACCTACAAATGAAAGAGTCAGGCCTCAGTATTGTAAGGGTACTGTAGAGCATTGAGGCGGGTCAGTAATGACATTGGTCCTTTTTATATGATGTTTGATATATTTAAGAGATTTATAAAGTAATAGATACACAGAAAAGCACAATGGTTCAGCATGACAATAACCTCAAAAATACATCAACACATGTCAAAGTTTGGTCCGGGTGTTAAAAATCAGGATTTTATAATGTCCAGCACAATTATCCGATCTTCACCTATAGAAAAGTTTTTATAGTGTCATAGATAGCAAAATCAAAGGAGATTCACAAAAAAAAACAGTTATAACGCCTTGCTAGAGGTTCAGGATGGTCTAGTATATATAAGGATCAACTTGAGCATCTTATAGATTCAATGCCTCAAAGGTATGCTCAAAAATAAAAAAAGTTGCTTTAGTTTTAACCAAACAAAAATTGGGTCAATTAAGTTTTCCATAGAATATTCTTAATTTCTAAATATTCTTAATTTCTAATAAATTTCTAATAAATATTGCATTAACTTTTTTTAAGCAAATAAATTACCTATTTATTTCTGAAAAACTTTCACTATAACCTTATGTTTGAAAAAGTTACATCATTTATTTAGTTTGCAATTTCAGTTGCTTCCGGTTTGGCCACCAGTGTATATTAAAATTTTAAATTAGAAGGCTTAACCTTCTCTATAGGAATTTATTTGACATATTAGCAATAGAATTAACCATGGCAGGTAGTCCATTTAGAGCAGCTTATGTCGATGTGCAATGTTGCCAACCATGTGAAATATTATAAGGAAAGAAAATAAAATTGGGTTTACTAAATCCAATATAATGTAAATGTACTAAATTGCTCTTATAGGAAATAAATTGTTCTGTTTCTGCACTGCAAGAATCTAATTATGTTTACTATTTTCATCAATATCATAAAGGAACACTTGTTTTGTAGTAAAACATGTTACATTCTTGCAGTTTCTGGAACAGATGAAAATATATTATTTAATGCCTCGTAATTTAATAAATTTTATACATTTGAATCTGGCAATGCTGCTCACATCAACATTGGTCCCCTTTAGAACAATATGCGACGCTTTTATTTAGTCCTACATCCAAAGACAAAACAAAGAAAAATACAACTCTGTAGATAAGCAACAGGTGGCATTATGGAATGTTTTGCAATACAGGAAAATATATATATACCGTTGTTCGTATTTAAACAAAATTTAAATAAAAAATATCTTAATAAAAAGATAAGAAATGTTAAATATTATACATATTTCTATTTTTAGTGATTTTTAGGTTATGTTCACATTTGTTGATTAATTCATTGTTATTGTTTTCCAACCCCCCATTTATACCGTTAGCACATTTATTTGTACAAATGTCAACGCATACGTTACAAATGTCACACAATGACATGCCAAAAAAAATGTAAAAGAAACCATAGAAATTAAATTTTGGACATTAGTTGGTTAGAAAAGAAAAATAATGAACGCGAAACAAATAATCTCTAAAATCGACAATAAAATATCAATTAATTACAGTTATTGATAAGTCAGGAAAAGTGTTGAGTGTATCTTGGAAGAAAAGAAAACATAAATTATTGTAAATAGTGTAAATAATAAATAAAAAATACTTCGTAAAACAAATTTCGTATTCACAAAACAAATCGCCTGTTTCTTTTTTTATAATCACCACATAAAACGTGAATTATGGTGGTCATCATCTTATAGCAAATTCATACTAAATACCACAGTAAAGAATAAAATATAAAAAGTTCAACAAAACAAATCCAAAAATAGTGTAAACCGAAAAAATAAATAAAAATTAAAATTTAGAAAAAAATATTACAAAAAAAAAATATACAGAAATATGTTTATAACTGCGAAACGTTTGAGACAACACAAATTTCTTATAATTATTACAATTTATTGTTATCTATTGGAAAAATCAATATTAAAGTGCAATTGTGTTCATGGTTATAGGTATTATTTTTTATTATTTTCATTAATAAATTATTTATAGTGCAATGCCAATTGAATTATAATGACATTAAATTTGATTTCTCTTTTATCATAACGTTCATCTTTACAAATGTCATCTATGACACAAAAATGTAATGTTATTGACTTTGATTACATTCATCGTGGATGTGTGTATGTGTGTGTGTGGGCGCACATGTAAATTAACATTGGGATGCGCCAAAAACCAAAACAGTTTCAAAATTGCTCTGTTCCCGTACTGCAATAATCTACTAACTTTAACTAAATTATTTATCGCAATAAAATTACTTATCGTAAAATTATGATCGTAATAAAAAAGTTTACATTTTTGCTTTTACAGTAACAGCTGTTTTTTTTGAGGGGAATTTTGATTCCAGATTTTAGATAGTCTTTAGGCCCCAAATTGTTGATAGTCTTTAAAAATAAATATTCAAATTCGGAATTCGATGACTGCAAAAACGCGATATAAACAGAAAAAAAATTGATAGGAAAAATTCATCTCTGTTATGAACACATGTTAAATTTTTATTTCTCAAAGAAATAATAGATATAGAACGGGTGCTAAAAAGAGGGAGACAATGTTTTTACAATTAAAACGATAATTTTTAATATGCTAATTCAGCTATGTTACTTTTCTAGTAAAGCTGTAAATGATTTTAGGATCTATTTTGAAGGAAAAGGTTAGCGTTTCTATCTCGAATCTCCAAAAATGTTTATCTCTTCTGTATCGAAGCAAAGCAGATCTTCCATAGACGGCGATAACGCAACCATCATTAAGAGTCAGCGACAGTCGTTTGCCGTGTGTTTCTTATAAGAGATCTGATTTGGCATTGACCTAGCGGCATGACCCTATTGATTTTTCCAGCGTCATATCAAAATTTCTCTCTTGCTCTAAAACTGAATGCCATATTTTAGTAAAAATCAACAGTGCTACCAAATTTCAATTAATTTATATCAAAACATATGGCAGTACTGTTAAAAAAACAAATATATATAGATTGTGGACGTTTTTTAATGAATTATTAATAAAATGGAAGAAAAATAATTTTTTCAATAATTTTATCCAAGTTCCTTGACATTATTGTTTATTAAATAATAAATTGATTTTGGTTTGCACAACGTAAAATTTTCTGTCGGAAAATGAAAACAAATAATTGACATTTTGTGCCGCTAACGCTAACTCTTTCGTTTGGTTTTCACGCCGGCGAAAAAGTATGACGCTGACTCGTGACTCTCTGGTTGCGTTAAGACTCTAATAGAGTAGATAAGCTGAAAGAGGAAAAGATAATAGCGATAGAAAAGGGTAGTAGGTTGAATATGCTAATTCAGCTATGTTACTTTCCTAGCAGAGCTGTAAATGATTTTGGGATCTATCGTGGAGAAAAAAGTTAGCGTTTCTATCTCGAATCTCCAAAAATGTTTATGCCTTCTGCATCGAAGCCACATCATTAATCCATTTTAAAAAAACAGATCTGATTCTGTGGTGACCTGTTATGATCCCTATTGCTGTTCTTATCCCTTTTCTACTCATATAAATTAATGATTTAGATCTACACTTAGATGGATTAGATAGACGTCAGATAGATTTAAAGGACCTATATATAGATTCCCCATTCCATCTTTGTGTTACTTTCTCCTCGTAAAACTTGCGAATTTTGCCAAAAAAGTGGTTAAGTGGAGGCCTGACAGTATCATCAATCGATTGACTGCAATCCATATCGAGCAAGCTCATCAGCTACTTCATTTCTCCTAATGTCATTATGACATGGAACCGAACAAAGTCTAACAAAATGACGTATATCAAAAGTTGTCTTTCTAGGATTCCCATAAGGCTTCTGTTTCGTTAAAAAATTGCAAATTTAAATATATATCATTCTGTGGTCCAAGAAGGAGTGCTTCTGATACTTTCCTATTTTCAACTTCAGAAAGTCCAAATTTGATAGGATGATATAACATCCTGGATCAAGGCAATGTCATGTTTCGAGGTGAGAGGTGAAGGAGTTGCCATATTTTTGACAATATATGGCTCCTGGATGAAGGCAATGCCAGCATTTTTCGAGGAGAGGTGAACCACCTTCAGACTTCGCTGCATTTGCGACGAGGGAAGGGGAAGTGAATACGTCCCAACCCATACACCACCCTTCTACTTCTCAATACTCCTCTCCCGCCTTGTACGTGGCGTATATGACCACCTGACCGTCGTTCTCTTAAAAGTGTTTAGCTTGCGCCAACTACCCACATGAAGACCAGCGTTCTGTTTTCGACAATCATCTGCATCTGATCTAGTTCGAAGAGAGGATTTGTGAACGTCACGGAAATATCAGCGAGTTTTCTACTCTACCAAAGGGATTCAACGGCATTTACTGCCTGAATAAGGTAGTCGACGGAATCCTCAGTTTAAGAAACTGGCATCTATGTATTGGGTAACTCCACTAAACTGCACCTGATCATGATCAAACACGCGCATTAGCATTATGATATACAGATGACGGTCGAGTAGTGACCAATGAATTTCACTGATTCTTCCATCAGGGGTCAGCTTTGTCTCTGGTCCTACTCTGGTATCATCCGTCGAGATGTCGTTTCTTTAGAAGCAGGTTTTGTCTCTTGTCCGACTTTTGTCATCCCTGTGGTAGCCTTCCCAATTCCTTCCTTATCAGCTATTTAAGTAACCTTTGGAGCAGACCCTGATGTTTCCTGTGAAGACTTGTCAATATGTCCGAATTTCGTTTTGCCGATGACAGCTTTCCCACTATCTTTTGTGGCAGCTACTGGAACATGCGAGATCGCGGGCTGTGCTGCTTTTGTCAGCAAAGGATTCTGGTTGCTGTTTCTCCGTCGATCTCATCCTCTTCATTGACATAGACATTGAAAAGGATTTTATTTCTGTTGGAAAAGCTTCCACCTTAGTCACCGATGTTGCCGCACTCAAATTATGGCTTTGGTCTCATGTTTGTCCCATTTCTTGATCCTGTGTACAGGTTTCCTTTATCGTCACCCTGTTGGTGGTCCCAGCAGAGGTAGCAACCGTACGCGAGGTAGGAATTTGGTCGTGCTTCTTTATCAAGCTGAATTCCATGACCGTGTCCGAATCCGAGTTCATATTCCTAGTATTTGAGATAGCAACATTTTAGACTGAGGGTGCACAGGCAGCCACTAAACCGCCACTAAAAAGAGTGCGGGACAATAAGAAAAAAATATATGTTACCATTTATATTGCCAAAACATTGTTCGGCGGTTTCTAATGTTCATATTTTTTTGCGAACCCCTGCTGATATGTGTAATACATACGGAGATAGGTGAAGAAATATTAAAATATTACCTTATTTGTAATTTATCTTTTTTTGCGCCGTTCTATGTCAATGCGATAACATGTTATTAGCTATTTTGTTTGATAGTACAAGGTTCATGTAGATATTTTTGAAATCAAAGAAGGGTATGTTGTGCTACTTTCTAGATACATATGTCAGAAAAAGATGAAATGAGTCATGACATGACAAAAAATAAGACAGAACTTGGAGCATATTCTCCATTTACATCGAACACGTTCGGGCACATATACTAGGAAGAAGAATACCTGCAGTGCTTCCATAGGAAGAAGAATACCTACAGTTCTCCTCGAGGGAGAAGAAGACTTCCAGCTCTGCTATAGGTGGAAGAATACTTCTAGCTCTCCTATAGGAACAAGAATAACTACATCTCTTTCAAAGGAAACAGAATATTTGCAGCTCTTTCAAACGAAGTAGAATATTTGCGGTTCTTTCAAATGAAGAAGAATACCTGCAGCTCTTCCATAGGAAGAGGAATACCTGCAGCTCTGTTATAGAAGGAATACTACATCCAGCTCTTTCATAAAGTGTGATTAGCCTTTATATTATATCGTGATAATGTACATTATCGCAGATTTGCAATCTGTATTGCAATCTGAATACAATCTAGAATTCCAAGATATGATGGGCGAAATCGAGACAATTTCAAATGCAACTCTGTTTTTGCACCAAAAACGCATGCCTTTTTTGATGTCTTGATTAACTGTCAAAGTGCGTTATTTCTACTTGAATCCATGGCACAATGAATAGGTAGTCCATTTAGCGCAGCTGATGTCTTGATTAACTGTCAAAGTGGGTAATTTCTACTTGAATTCGTTGTGAAGTGTTGCCAACCATTTGAAATGTTATATGGAAAAATTTGACAGATAATCGAAACAAAAACAAAGGTTGTTGTTGTGATACATCACCTTATTATTGCATCATGCTTGAATCCGATGGGCAATGTTGACAACCATGTGAAATATTATAAGAAATATTTATTGAACCATGGGCATGATGTAATAATAAGGTGATGTATTAAAACAAAAATATATGTTTTTGTCTCGACCATCTGTCAAATTTTTCCTTATAATATTTCACATGGTTGGCAACATTACACATCGAATTCAAGTAGAAATTATGCACTTTGACAGTTTATCAAGATATCAGCTGATCTAAATGGACTACCTATTCATTGTGCCATGGGCGTACCATGATGTCAACGACTGATGTACGTCCTTTAGTAATTACGTCCAAGATCTATTAATAAGGTCATCTAACAAGCGAAAGTCAGCTGTTATTTTTTCTAATGTAAAACGTCTAATGTCAAACCTTTGAACCATGAACCAACAATAAGATGATGTATCAAAACAAGACTCTTTGTTTTTGTTTCGATAATCTGTCAATTTTTTTCCTTATAATATTTCACATGGTTGGCAACATTGCAGAACCAATTTATGTAAAACAAGATCTATAAATAAGGTAACCCAGCTAGCGAAAGTCAGCTGTTTTTTCCCAAGTCTAATGTCAAAAATGCTAACCTTGTTTACGTTTTTCATAATGAAAGTCAATTCACAACAATGGATTTTGACAGTAAACTTGAGATGAGAGTCAGCCGAAATACAGCTGGTCTCGCTGACCTTATTTACAACTTGACTGTTAACCGAGTCATCAGCAAGAAAAAATTTTATTGTGCCATGAGTACGCCCTTTTATAATTCTGTCCAAGATCTAGTAATATGGTAACCCAGCAAGAGAAAGTCAGCTGTTTTTCTACGTTTTCATAATGGAAGTCAATTCACAATACTGGATTTTGACAGCATACTTGAGAATCAGCTGATATGTAGCTGGACTTCCTGGATGACATTATTAATAAACTTTTATCATGGAACAATGAATAGGTAGTCCATTTAGCGCATCTGATGTCAGTGTTGCCAACCATGTGAAATATTATAAGGAATAATTTGACAGATGGTCGAGACAAAAAGCAAAGGTTTTTGTTTTGATACATCACCTTATTATTGCATCATGACTTTGATCCTGTCTAAAATTGATAATAATTATTTTCATAAATATATCCCACAATACTCATAAAATATCCCTCATGTACTTCTAGAAACGGCACCGATAGTTCAGAAACCGTACAACATTATGAATTAAGTCTATCACTACCGGATATACTACCGATACCATCAAAATCATATGATAAAAATCGAGCGCCAAAATTACTCGGTCAACCAACGGTGGTGTATTTTCATGTAACGGTATTATCCTTAGATTCAATTGATGAAGAATCGATGGTGAGTAGATTTTTTTATGACAAAAAAACTTTTTTTATTAATTTATTTAAAATATTTCTTTTCAGACCTATGTTACTGATATATTTTTAGCACAAAGTTGGCGTGATCCACGCTTACGTTTACCTGAGAATATGAGTGAAGAATATCGAATATTAGATGTTGATTGGCTGCACAGTATATGGCGGCCAGATTGTTTTTTCAAAAATGCTAAAAAAGTTACGTTTCACGAGATGAGCATACCGAATCATTATTTGTGGTTATACAATGATAAAACGCTGCTCTATATGTCAAAGTAAGCATTGAAATTAAGATATATAAAATACAATCAGAGTGGGAAAACATTTTTGATAAAAAATGGGGTCTAAGCATTACAAGAATTGAAGGAATCGTTCTTTAGGATCACAGTTGATTAAATCATTCAGCAAAAAAAAAGTAGATGAACCGCTAATCATGGTGAAGTATGTAATCCTGAAAAAAGAGCGGAAAGTGAAGGTGATAGAAGTTAGTTAGACTGTACAAATCTAAAAATCTCTTTTGGAGTCTATTCCGGAGAAGAATGCCAGATCATCAATTTCATTTCCTCATCCTCAAATAAATGGCGTAAGAACTCAGGCCAGATAATTTATGAAATCCTGCATCCAGGCTCCATATATTTCTGGCTTCCTCGCTGTAGGCCTTCCAGGCCGAATTGTGCGTAGCTACGGAGAGAATGTGGGGAATTTGAACCAAACCGCATCCTGAAGGTTAGGTCTTCTTTCTAAAGGCTTGACTTGAACGGATTGGGCCCGTCCTGCAGCCGATATTGGTATATGATGGTCACAATCAGAAAAGGGTGCACAGACTGAGAGATGTAGCATAGGAATATCAGGCGATAAACAAAGTTCCGAAGCAGTTGAGGGGAAAACGTTGGCGTCAAGTATTAAATCAACCCACGCCGTAAAGCCTTCAGAAGTTGACTTACAGCATCTTATAAACATGTGAGCGATGCAGCGTACAAATATCGGAAGAAGGTGCTCTGAAGAAGTGTGACGCACTCTTGTGTCCTCGTAAAAGAAGTGTGCGAACTTAAGTTACTTATTGTGGGCAGCTGAAAAGAACGTACGGAATTTAAGTTTAAGTTAGGTCATATTTTTAAGGTTTGGACGGATTGGGTTCGTCCGGCATTTGAACGCCAAAGTCGGAAAAGGGTACACAGATGGCGAGTGGGAGATATGGCATACGAATGTCCGATAAGAAAAAAGTACCTATAAAATAAGAGGTGTCCTGAACCAGTTCAATATAAACTTGAATAAAGATTCACGCTCAGTTCCGACGAGATCTAAAGTTAATGAAAGAAAGAACTAAAAAAATCCGAGACTTAAAGAAACAAGTGCATGAACATGGGACAGATGCGATCCCTCATTGGCAACTAGATCCCTCCGAAAATTATGATTTTGCCGGCAAAAACTCGCCAATGCGAGCATCTGAACATACATAAGTGAAAGGTATCCTGAAAGCAGTCGAATATGTCAATGTTTGCCTTGAAGAGAGGTTACAACAAAGTTTAAAGGGAAGAAAGCACTAATGGACCTCGCAACCCCACGATTTAGGGAGCTAGGATACATTTTTGCAGCCAATGGCAAAAGATATGATTTCGCCAGAAAATTATCGTCGCGCCTATGGAGCTCTGTTAAGCTTCTCAAATAATTTTTAAAAAGTCACGCCTGTGGAGCTCTGCAAAGCCTCTCGAATATTCTTTAAATATCTACGCATATGGAGATCTGCAGAGTCTGAGAATTTTTTTTAATCCACGCCTATAGACCTCTTTGAAGCTTCTGAAATATTCTTCAAACATCCACATCTATGGAAACCCCCGTAACACCAGCTAAGTAAGTAAGACTCACGGGCTTGTGACAGAACTTTCGTTTTATAAGCCGATCTTAACAACGATTTCAATGCGCGTCGGTCTTTTGCGCAATTTTTCCAATTTGAAAGACCATGTTCGGCAATGTTGTCTTCCACTTGATCTTTCCATCTAATTCGTGGCCTTCCCCTTCTGCGTGAACCATCAGTTGATTCCCTTTAATATGCCTTTTTAGCTGGGTCAACATTAACGTATCAACATTCAACATTAACGTAGATCGGTCCATAGATCTTTCGGATAATTTTTCTCTCAAACATCCCAAGAGCTACCTCATCTGCTTGCGTAAGTACTCCTGCTTCTGATTCAGCACTGGTAGTATCAGCGTCTTGTAGAGTGTGAGTTTGGTCTGGGAGGAGGAGGAGGCCTTGTTTCTAAACTGCTATAAAACTGTAGATTACGGAGTATCTAGAACAAACAATATAGTGAAGATTTTGGAAGTTGAGTTCATGCAATATTCGGAAGGGTTGGCTTCTTCGACGTCCTTACGTCGTGCAAACTATGGGAGAAATTGCATACGAATATCAGAGAAAAGGAGGTAGTCGTACAAGTACTCCACGAAGTTACACGTGTTTAGATAGATAATAATATTAAAAATGCACGATGCAACGCGCTGATTGTATTTCGACCTTAAAAAACATACTTAAAATAAGGACCGAAATCAGACTGAGTTCTTTGCTTAAGATCGCAAAATTTCGAAGTTTGGTGATAGGGTTCAGTCAGTTTTGACCTTAGCACAATACCATCTCAATTTTATTTATTTATAATTAATTATTCCCCGATTTTCAGATTAACTTTGGTGCTGTCATGTGCCATGAAATTTGAATCATATCCCCATGATACTCAAGTGTGTTCCATGATGATAGAAAGCTGTAAGTTCCATATATGACAGAATTCAATTTATTTAATTTAAAATGTATCTGTTTTTCAGTATCCCATACCGTTAACGATTTGGTATTTATATGGAATATGACAGATCCGTTGGTTGTCAGTAATGAAATCGAATTACCACAATTAGATATATCAAATAATTTTACAACCGATTGTACTATAGAATATTCAACAGGTAAGCTATACTACAGAGCTCACTAAGGAATAGTTCTTTATAAATATTTTTGATATCTGAACTTTAGGTAATTTCACCTGCCTAGCCATTGTTTTCAATTTACGCCGCCGCTTGGGCTATCATCTACTCCATACCTATATACCATCGGCATTGATTGTGGTCATGTCTTGGATATCATTTTGGATTAAACCCGAAGCAATACCGGCCCGTGTAACGCTCGGTGTAACATCGCTCTTAACGCTGGCCACACAAAATACACAATCGCAACAATTACTGCCACCTGTCTCGTATGTCAAAGCCATTGACGTATGGATGTCTTCATGTTCGGTATTTGTATTTCTATCGCTAATGGAATTTGCAATCGTAAATAATTATATGGGTCCAGTGGCGACAAAGGCCATGAAAGGATATTCAGATGAGAATATAACAGATTTTGATGATATAAAGGTAAGTAAGGGTTGTATTTTGACGTCAAGCCCGACAATCCGGCCTTCTGAAGTCCATTAGAAAAAAGGATTCATAGTTTAGCCAACCCTCATAGAATGAGGTATGGGGGCATTTCGGACATCCATCTCTGTTATGAACACATGTTAAATTTTGTTCCGATCTGGCAACTCCTTCATATAGAAATAGGTGTTCAAAAAAGACGCATCCGCAATCCGCATATACATATATAATCTCCCGCTGTACATTTTATTGAAGTCAAATTCTGACTAAAACTAAGTATTGAAACAAACCGCATCCTGAAGTGTTTAAATGTCAGTTATGTCGTCTTTCGAAACGCTTCGCTTTAACGGATTTAGGCCGTCCTGCAGCCGATATTTGTATATGATCGTCAAAGTCAAAAAGGGTACACCGATGGCGACTGAAAGAGGTTGCATAAGAATATCTGAAAAGAAAGAAGTAGCAATAATGTGGAAGGTGTCCTGAAGACAGCAGAGAATGCTTATCTGTAAGTGCGGGAGAGTCCCGAGGAGTAAAATAATGATTTCCTTAAGGTGTGGTCATATCTCCGTAACTCTCTAACTCTAACTTTCTGGTATTTCACAACCACGAGTCTAGAGATTGTAATCAATTGTAGTTTCATGGCGTTGGGCGCCATTTTTGAAAAATGTAGATAGACCGAGATTAGACCTAATTTCCCAGCAGAATCAGTTGGTCTAGCAAATGAACGTGTTTAACTCTGTCGATCTAACCCAGCAGATCCCAGGGTCAGGCAACTTACGTTCGAGCTCAGCGGATTAATCGCGGAGCATAAGAGGAATAAATGATTGGAGCTCCTGAAGAGTTGCAACATCGGTACCGGTGTAAGTAAACTGTAGACAACGGTTAAGTCGGTCTCGAACCCTGATAAGAAAGATGATAGGACTTCAGTCACATTAAACGACGACACCGTGACTGATCCAAAGAGATGCGCGAAATATTTTAACGACGCGAAAAGTACTATGACGTGTAATGCCTTCCCGCCGAGTTCAAAATGGGTGATGTTGCATGTGTCATCCGTAACGCAACGTCATCCAATCATTCCACACTATTTGAAGACATCAAGAGCACTTCCCACCGGCCGACTATATGATTGGACGCCAGTCGTACGTACAGTTCCGGAATTAGAAGTCCAAACCCCATAGAGTGAAGCAGGGAGTTCCCCAGTGAAATCTCCGGAGCTGTTTAACCGCTATCTTTCCGGTATTCCACGTCGTCCGGTCGGCATATATATTGTTACATATGCAGATGATTGTACTCTCATCTTTCTTTCTTTTCCACCATATGACGGATAATCATGATCTAGAGAGAGAAATACGTTATAAAAGGGAGCTTCTAGATCAAGTTGCCTATCGAGTAGGTCTGAATAGCATTCATACTGATGCAGTTGCCGCAGCGCTGAACGAATACAGAATACGGAGCACACCCCCCATCCATAGCAGCTGAAGGTCATCTGCCCAGGCAAATCCGAGTAGTTTTGGCCCAATTACGTTCAGGATGGTGCAGTCGTCTCAATTCGTTTTGGGCACGGATTGATGACCAGGTGCAGAATGTCTACCCAGCATGTGGTACGGGCCCTCATATCACTATGCACTTATTCAATTGCCCAGTCAAATATACTCGACTTATTCCTGAAAGCTGTGGTTGCAGCCAGTGGAAGTAGCTACATTTCTTAACTTGGAGATTAGAACCTGATTGAATCAAATAGGAAAGCAATCATTTATATAAACTGTTTCAACAACAACTACTAGTTCCCCAGACAAGGGCTCGTTTTTCAACCTCACTTGACTCCACAGCCATCTACAGAATGCTGTTTCGATTATCACCAAAGCACCTCCTGCTGGTGGCTGAAAGTTCAACCCGATGCCGGCTTATTCAATTCCAATCGGAGTAATAATTTTTAATGTAGACCGTTGACGCTAGTGGTTCTCAACACTTTACTGTAGATTAGTTTCTTGTATTACTACTAGGGGGACATTCTGACCGTTACGTTTTGAACTAAATGCGGTAAAATATAAGATTTCAGTTCGTCTTCGGACGACTCACAAGAAGGACGCAATTAAAAAGTATAATAAAATAAAAAATAAAATTTTACTAAATGGCGATTCGTTAAGCCTTCGCTTAACTAACACGTGTTTATCAAATTAGATGAAATTCTACACAAACGGATAACCTATCAAGTCACAAAATATCAATAGTGAAGATGAACTCGTTTTTTTTTAAAGATTTTGTAGACATTGTCTAGGATGTAGACATTGTCTAGGATGTTGACTAGTTGGAGGAGGAGTAAAGATGAAAAAAATTTAGATTTTATATTAATTTTAATATGAACATTACAATTCTGTGCCCAAAAACGAGTATCGACGAATTTTAGGCGTTAGACTGGAACAAATCAATATTTTGTGATTTATTTTTTTATGTAAAAACATATATTTATTTTCTAATGCTTTGATTTAATTAATTTATTTGCCCACATCTTTTAATTTTCAGAATCCACATCGTGCCTCAATTATCGAACCACAATATGATACATTTTGTCAAGGACATGCCACGGCGCTGTTTATCGATAAATTTTCACGTTTCTTTTTTCCATTTTCATTTCTAATATTGAATATTGTCTATTGGACAACGTTTCTGTAATAGGATGTGTTTTGTTTTTTATTTAATTTAATTTAACTACCAAATACACAAACATACATACTTACCTTATAAATTAACAAAAAAAGAAATACATAAAAAACATTTGTTTTAAAAATGTAAATAATAATAAAAAATTATGCAAAATTAAATTTTTTGTTTTTTAATTATTTTTTATTTAATTTACTATTTCAAGAGATGATGTAATAGTAAAAAAATAAACTGAACTTATAGCCATATAAAATTAATAATAATAAAAAAGAAACTAAATAATAATGAAGTTATATTTATACACATACATATATATATATATATTTATATTTCTTTAACCGATTCTTTGGCATAACATCGAGTATAAAGTTATTTTTTATAAAAAAAAATTATGAAAACTAAAAATAATAATAGGGAATAATAAACAAAATATATTCACTATAGTAGTAATGATAATAATAAAGAACAATATATTTAAATTAATTGTATATATGTGGGATATATTTTCTTTGCTTCATATTCTTCTTCTCCGGCTCCGGCTGTATAATAGTTAAACAAATACATATATATTATATACTTTTTTCGAAGTGGGTTTGTAGTTTTGTTACGATAAGGGGGAAGAGTATGCATGGGGCGGGGTTGTTATAGTTTAATCACATTCAATAAGTTAATGGGGGTTTTAAGGTAGTTGATGAGTTATTTTTTGTTATTTATTAATTTTATTATTACTATAATTTTTTAAGGTAAGCTTTTTTATTGTTATAACAAAACGAAAAAAAAACGCATAGCTTAGTTTTCAAAAAAAAAAAAAAAATCAAATTAAAAGAAATCCTAGTCCAAAATACGCTCTTCTATAATATAATAATATTAATATATAAACTAAGAAAATAATATACAAAATCTCTTAAACTAGCATGTATGTATGTTTGAACAACAACAACAAATACCTAATAAAAAAAGGAGGGAAAATCGCATTCATCAATACTTTGTTGTAACACAACATAACAAAATAGTAAAGTATTGAAATTAACAAAAGAAAACTGAATTTAAAAAAAAAAAAAATTAACAACTCTGTTCCTCGTCTCTCTCTATTTTCCATTAGTAATATTTAATAATTAAAAATATAAATACATACATTATTGCAAAATTAAATTGCAAAAGAGAAATGCTTTTGTTTCTGGTTAATTATACACAATGTTTTTTTGTATGTTGTTGTTTTGTTAGTTTTTTTTTGTAGAAAAAGGCAAACAATTTTTGTTTAAAATTTCTAAACAAAAAGTAACAAAATTTTGTTGGTTTTTTTCAATAATTTGTATAAATACTTGGCTAAATATTTGTTTCTACGACATTCAGTTTTGTTTTTGCTATAAATAAATAGATATATAGATGCAATATAGATGATATACCCATTTTTATTATTCTTCCTCTACTGCAAGCAAGCTTGGATTTTTTCTATCCATTCCTGGGCCAAATTTGCATTCATGGCATACAGATTATAGGTTCGTCGTGAGGTTTTCAGCTACAAATAAAAGGAAAAAAATTAGAAAACAAGTTTGAAATAATATTTCGGTACAAGTTATTAAATTTAATATCGATTCAACCAGTGTGGAGATGTCCAGCTATTATAGGCTAAACAACGATTCTAGGCAAAAAAAAATGAGAAATATATCCTAAGGAACAAATAGCATAATGTAACTTCAAGTCTCCAATGATATACGCAACTTATACGATATGGAACACGGTGTGATGCATATTGATAATGTCTGTAATGAGGGTGCTGCTATCTTGCAATTTATACGATGTGGTAGACCGTGTGGTACACATGCATATTGAATCTGTGGAATCTGTGTATTTAAAATCCAAACGTCATCCCCATGTACTGAAAATTCAAACACCATGCCTGCCTCCGGGCGAAGAAATTGTCACCGATCATCTGAGATGTTTCCGAATGGCCGATTGCCAACAGCCAAGAATTGAAACTTTGCGTTAAATTCTGAATAAGGCTCGACATCCCATTGATGAATTTGAACATTTCGCCGTTTAATCCTATGGCACAATTATACAAGGCCGGATTGAAAACGAAATTCACCACCACCGCCACCAAAAGGAAATTGGTAACATCGGCTGTGGATTTTGACACAATGGTTGCATCGGCAGATGCCTTAGAGACATATTCCCAAAACTATGAGCTCGAAAATGATGAATTTGAATCGAATAATGAAACCCTACCACGCATTGCCACTGCCGAGAATATTGAACGTGTGCGTGAACGTAACTATGTGATTGAAAAGGTTTGGGCTTTGAAGAGGCCCATAAGATGGCTTCCATATAACAGCGGTGGATTCGAATTACAACATGTGCCATTCATACCCTGCCATATTTGTGGCACCACTGCAAATCCACGATGCCGCTCAAACACATTTGCGTCGTTGCACGTAAAAATCAACATGTAGCTACCGGTAGCTACATGGCGCCATAGCAACAGTACCCAGCTGATACGATAAGTTTGGTCCATAATAAATCTGTAATAGGCATGCTTAAGAATAGTACAACTGGTTCGAATAATATCTCTAATGATGTAGCCAATCATCACGAACAGGACAAGTATTTTACGGCTTTGATCCACACCAAGCCCAAGCCGAATATTTCATTGGTCCCCTACAATTTTATGGGCATTAATTTGTCAATGAATTAATTGTTTTTGAACATCCGAACATAGATTATTTGAACACCTCATGGACCCCGGAGGTTAGTAGAAAAAATAAATCGAGAATGTTAAATGAGAAGAGCGGCAGAATAAAATTATCTTCGACATTTTCGAACAGTGTCTCGGCATATAGGAAAATACATCTATATGTTTTGGTGTGAAAAGTCTCAGATGATTTGGATGCAGAGTTCATACTCGTCGATTATACCGAGACGGAATCAAGCATTTGTCAAGAACATTGAATAATCGGATTGGCTACAACAAATTTCTTTATTGCTACAACTTTCGGAGCTGTGGTGGATCTTATTGACCTACAAGAGGCTAGTGTTATGCTGTCGCTGGAAGATGGCTGGGATATAACAGCACAAATATCTGCATTTACTCAATTGTGTTTGGATCACTATTATCGTACAATAGACGCGTCGTTTGGGCATCGTTTTGATCATCGCATAAATTTAAAACCCTCTCACAATAGTTCAAATATTGCATTTGGTCCCACATTTCTACAATTCCTTGATAGGGTCTATCAAATACACAAACAAATCCCCATGGCATTTGAATTTAACCCTTTCAGTGTTTTTGTCGAATATATTCGACATTTAAAATTACTCTCTTTCTTTGCGATTTTTCGGTTATCTTATGTACCGTTACTATTGTGTTTTTTGTTTTTGCTGTAAAAAAGGCGAAACAGGTCGAGGGTTAAAATGACAGTTGCTATTTTTTCTAAACTATGTTCCTTTATATGATTTTAAATACAAAATTTTAGATTTTTATTCGGACAAAAAATTTTTTTGACACTGAAAGGGTTAATGTATTCTACATACGCTTCCCTGGCCTATCACACTGTCTCCTGTCGTTTTCGTAAATTGATGTTTGATTGTGAAATGGAACGTTTTGATATGGGCATAACAGCGGTGGAGGATAAAAGTGATTCCCTATCGACATAGTGAGCAATTGTTAAGTAATACATCTTAGATTTCCTAACCCATTCGAGGCGGTTTTTAATAGCTTCAATCACTCAACTCGATTCAAAAGAGAAAAACTAAATAAAAGTTATACTTACATCGAAAAATCCTTTCTCGTCTACACGTTTTGTGCCGATTTGAGTAGGTTGTGCGGCTGTAACACTCTGTACTTCAGCCAAATCTGTAAATAAAATGAAGAAATATAATTTTTTAATAGAAATCGGAATGGTATATTTCTATTTGTATAGAAGACGAAAAAGATCTTCATCTAAGAAGCTAAATATACCATATTTTAGTATATCAAATAATTATTCTTATACATTTCATTTCAAATTTTCTTTAACTTACCTATTACACCTTTACATGTTGAATCTTCAACTGAATCATAATAACGCAATTGATGTTTAATGGAATCCAAGACAAACCAACGTTGTTTCCAATTCTTTAACAAGGCACCGCGTTTATAAAGATGTCTGAAAAAATAAAATCCAACATTTTTTTAAATTGTTGCAAACATTTCCTTTCGTCGACCTACCCCTCATGAGTACGATTTTCAGCAACATTACTACTAAACTGATTATAAAAATGATGTGATGAGGTACGTGCCGTTGTCGCAGCACTCGATGCTATACTGGCCGTATCACCCTGTGATATATTGACATTTGGTGGTACAACACCCTCAACGGCCTTATATTTTGTGCAATTTTTCAGCGAAAGTTCTGTGCAACGTTCATGATAGGAATTGCCACAATCCATGCAGCGATAGCCCACAGGGCCCCATAATAATTTTGTGCAATGATTACAGTTGGTGGGTGTGGTATACGGGTGTTTCTCAAACCGATGTGGATGGAAGAATTTCTCCTGATAGCCAGAGAGACGTCCTTTCATTATGATTTCCAGTGTGGAACGTTTATGTTGCAATTTGCCCTGATAGAAAAGACTATTGAGGGACGATTTACGTTCGATCCGCTCCACTTGGGGTACATCAAGGCTAGTCCAAACTTGTTGCCATTTTTGTGGCAAATGGCCACGTTCAGTTTCGGCTTGTTTCACTTCGCTGAGTAGGCAAACAAAGGTGTTGGGATCTGATTTTTCAATGTTGTCATAGCCGGCAGATATGACAATACGTTTGCCCTTCATTTCGGATAAATCTAGTTCATCGTCGGCACTTGTAACCTCTAGATCATAGGGTGGTCCCTGAGCCAGTTCTTCGTTGGTGTAATAAGGCCACAGATCTAAAGCGGCGGCACAACTTTGTGGCCGCAGGACATCGTCGTGCATGTAGTAGATGAAGTTGTAGAATATTTGCGATTTCGAGTGTTGCCTCTCAATATAATCGAATATTGAATGGCCAATGCGATTGAAATTCACCAATGTTTTGCTACGCATATCAACAGGATAGACACCCGACTCATCGTCTGAACCATTGTTACCTAGAATATCAGCCAAAAAAAGAAAAACAAACACAAGAAAAAAAAAATAAATAAAAAACGAAAAAGCCATTAAAATCCAGTTCAATTGGACTCGAAAATCTTACATTTATTACTTAGCAAATGTTTACTGGTCGACAGCGAACCACGTTTATCCTCCACCGCTGTTATGCCCATATCAAAACGTTCCACTTCACAATCAAACAGGAATGTACGAAAACGACAGGAGACAGTGTGATAGGCTAGGAAGCGTATGTAGAATTCATTAAATTCAAATGCCATGGGGAATTGTTTGTGTATTTGATAGACCCCATCGAGGAATTGTAGAAATGTGGGAGCAAATGCAATATTTGAACTATTGTGAGACGGTTTCAAATGGCTGCGATGGGCAAAACGATGACCAAAAGCAATCCACTCCTTTTCGACAAGCACACGGAAACCATCTATTGTACGATAATAGGGATCCAAACACAATTGAGCCAAGGCAGAGATTTGTGCTGTTATATCCCAGCCATCTTCCAGCGACAGCATAACACTAGCCTCTTGTAGGTCAATAAGGTCCACCACAGCTCCCGAAAGCTGCAGCAGAGAAGAGATTTGTTGCAGCCAATCCGATTGTTCAATGTTCTTGGCAAATGTTTGATCTGTCTCATTGGTAATGTTCGAGGGAAGACATGCTCTCATTAGCTTCTTAAAAGCAATGCGTGAATGACGAATATCGGGATAATCGACGGGTATAAACTCTGCACCCAAATCGGCATTTACACTTGATTTCGTCTGTGACTTTTCACCCAAAACATATAGACGTATTTTCCTATATGCCGAGGCACTGTTCGAAACCGCCGAAGAATTTTTAATGGTGCCACTCTTCTGCTTACTCTCATTTGACATTCCAGATTTATTTTTTCTACTAACCTCTGGGGTCAATGAGGTGTTCAAATAATGTAAATCATCCACGGCCGATGTGTTCAATAGCAATGAATTCATTGACAAATTCATGCCCGTCAAATTGTAGTGAGCCAATGAAATATTCGGCTTGGGCATGGTGTTGATCAAAGCCATAAAATACTTATCTTGCTCATGGTAGTTGGCCACATCATTGGAGGTATTATTCGAACCTGTTGTACTATTCTTAAGCATGCCTATCACAGATTTACTATGGGGCAAAGCTCCCCGTATTAGCAGGGCACCGTTGCGATGGCGCCATGTAGCTACCGGTATACGTTGATTTTTATAGCAACGACCCAAATGTGTTAGTGCGGCATCGTGTATTTGCAGTGGGGCCACAAATATGGCAGGGTATGAACGACACATACTATAATTCGAATTCACCGCCGTTATACGGAAGCCATTATGGGCATCTTCGAAGCCCAATCGTTTCCAGTCACGTACATAGTTACGTTCACGCATACGTTCAATATCCTTGGCGGTGGCAATGCGTGGTAGGGTTTCATTATTCGATTCAAATTCATCATCTTCGAGCTCATCGTTTTGGGAATGTGTCTCTAAGGCATCTGCCGAAGCTACCATTGTATCAAAATCCACAGCTGATGTTACCAATTTCCTTTTGGTGGTGGTGGTGAATTTCTGTTTCAATCCGGCCTTTTTGGCGGTGCGCATCAGTGTTTTCTTGGCAAAGCCCTTCAGCGTGGAATACTTCTCCTTGGCCTTCAGTGGCGCCGTGCCATGTATAATTGTGCCATAGGATTGAAAAGCGAAATGTTCAAATTCATCAATGGGATGTCGAGCCTTATTCAGAATTTTACGGAAAGTTTCAATCATTTCGGGTGTTACTTCCGAATCAAAGGCCACCTTCATCAACTGAAAGGTACTCGATCGTAGTTGTAAACCCTCGGGTAATGTTTGATCCAAATGGGCTAAATATAAAACGGAAATTTTCTTCTCCTTCAACAACGAAGAAATGGGAAATGCACGAATTATTGTCTGTTCACAGGCCAAGGGATCGCAGGGATTGCCCTTGAATATGATACGATAATTTGTAAGGAATAGAGCACCCTCAGCGGGTATTAAACACTGGGTATCATCTTCCCGCCCGTCGGCCATTAGGAAACATCTCAGATGATCGGTGACAATTTCTTCGCCCGGCAGCAGGCAGGGTGTTTGAATTTTTGGTTTCTGTACATGTGGATGACGTTTCGATTCTAAATACACAGATTCCAGAGATTCAATATGCATGTGTACTACACCGGGTACCATATCGTGTAAATTGCGTATATGGTCGGAGGTAACACCACCCTCGGTACAGACACGATCAATAAAACGTGAAACGATTTTACCCACAGCAACGCCTACTTCGGAGGCGTCATTCTCTTCGAAACCTTCATCGGAGTGTTCACTCATGGAGCCCATAATACTGTAAAGAGAAGAATCGGGGGAGAAGTGAAAAGAAAAATGTTTTATTAAAAATAAAATTTAGGTTGAGGTTATGATTTTTTTTATTATTTTAAGGTTATAAATAATTAAAAGTAAAATAACATTAAATATCCACCGAGAAACTGAAATACAAAATTTTTTTTGAGTATTCCGAATTTTAAATCGATTAAAATAGATTGACCAAAAATGTGAGGTTATGTGGGACCATCACAAGCGAAAATTGTTTATAACTACTTAGAATTTAATTTCGTAGGCTCTGAAAATCCACATAGTAATCCCCCTTCGGGGAGCAGAGCTGAAAGATAAAGTCCACAGGTTGCGGATAGTGGGAAGCCCAATATTATTCATTGGGTAGCTGTGAATAACAAATAAACAGTGGCGTCTCGGAGGAAATGACCGAGTGTCTATGATCCCTGGGCCGACGAGGCGAGAATGGCGCCTCTAAATAACCATCTCAAAGGTCTGGGTCACTACCTCTTAAAGTGACCCCCCAAACGCTGGGGTGTTATGCGACATCGTGCCTATCAGCGTTCTACGGTTTGCAGTCCGGGTTCCGACTGTATTAGAACGGAGCCTTGTTGATACCTGGGCGCCTCAACAAGCTTATTCAGGCTTAGCTGCCAAGTCCTTGCCATGGTAAGTGGCTATGCCATGGTTGACCTCAATCCCTCACATTCAACACATTGAATGGAGCCGAATCATAACCACACACCAGAAAGGAGTTCCTTTTAATCAAGAGGAACCTCAAATTTATCCGGGAGTTCTCCAGGAACTATCATCCAGGACTTCTTGATATTGAGAGGGACTTGTCGGGGGTCCTAGTACACCTATAAAGCTGATGCCTGAGACTTCTAAGCCCTCAGCCTGCCAAGAGCGGTGAGTGTGTAGTATTTACGTAATACTAATTGTCATTATCATTTCTGAAGAATCATTTTCCATGTAAATCCGAATCAAAAATAATCCAAATTGTGTCGATAGAAAATTTGAGGTTATGTCAGGATACTACACAAATGTACACAGGCTTGTTGAAGAAAATAAAACATATAATATCAGTTCATAAGCACTCCTACCCTCCTAGAAAACTAATAGATAAATAAACTTCGTTTGAGAGATAATGAGAACAATAAAAAAGTTAGGTTATGTGAATGTCCAAGGTTAGGTTATGTGAGCCAGAAGCTCGAACAAAATTTGAAGCTATATATAAATTATTTGCCTTATATATTTTTTATCGATAAGAATTACGAATAAACTAAAATCTTCGTCTTCCAACTTGTCATAACCTCACTTTTTTATGCCAATTAAAAAGTGAGGTTATGTAGAAAAAAAACAACAAAATATTTTAACCTAATAGCCTAATAGCAAAATATGGCTTTGTGTACATGTATGAGTTTAAATAAAATAAAATTAGCATAAAATCTAATCGTTATATTGAAAAAAAAACCCCTAAATTTTTTACCCATGTTTACCCTAAAACTAATAATTCTTATTTTTCCAAAAACTCACCTATTCGATACACTTTGATTATCATCAAAACGAAATGTTTGCTTTGGCTTCTGACCCACAGCATTAACATCGGGTGGTATGAGCAGAGATACCATCCGATTCGAATAGTGGATGGCCTGACTATATAATGTCGATTCCTCCGATTGAGCCAATTCCTTTTTCTTTTCCTCATCAATTGTGGGTGATTTACGCATTTGTTCGGCGGTTATTTCCAATGCCGTCGGTTCCTCCAGAGGCACATCATCCAATACACAATTCGACTCCTTGTTATTTTCATTTGCCCGACGATGTTGCATATACAACGCCTTGATATGCGTTTGTACATCTTGATAGAATGTCGATTCCCAAAATTGTAAATTTTTCCATATACTATGATCCTGTATACAGGTGTAGGCAAATTGTATAATACCCGTAGAGAGTTTACGACAAAATATCGTGGACATTGGTAGCAAGGCTGCAGCCACAGTATACTCATCTATGCCGGTGGAATTTTGTAGGGTTTTATTCATAAACTTAATGACCAAATCGAACTGTTGATGATCCAAAACGGCCTTATTGCCTCGAACATAGCCGAACAACTCACGGCAGAATATTAAACGGGCATCACGATGTTTCAGCGTGCGTGTCACAGCCGGCACCAATTTGCGGGCATCGGCTATCTTATTTTCAAAAATATATGCTACACAGGTTTTTAAAACCTCCAAACGTCTGGCTGAATTCAAGAGATTGGGTCTTACATCTAATACTTCGGGTAAGCGAGGTCCCATAGGTATAATGCGATTTTGATTACGCTGTGATGTCAGGCGAGGTTGTAGGCAATTTTTACGTATGCCATCGTTAATAATAATTTCAACTTTTTCCGGATTGAGGCGTGGGAATGCCGGTTGGTGGATGCGATGTGAGGCACCCTCGGGTGGTCGCAACACCTTTTGGACATACATTTGCTGGCTGGGATTTTCATTTTCATATAGAACTTTCCCCAGCTCGGCAATGTGTATTTGCAGGAGACTTTTGTTGTTTGCCTCGGATTTTAGTAATTCATTCATGGTGCTGTACAATTCATCCCAGGCGTCAGAGGGTCTCCATGGTGGGCCACGTTCATTTACAAAGGTCGTAAAGAACATACTGTCCAAGACACGAAACAAAAATTCACTTTCAATTAAATCTCTGGCACCCAAAAATCCAGCCTTATGGAAAGTAATGACCGGTTTGGGATGTATGCGTATCAGGGTTAAACATGATCGATATCCCTGCAATAGTTGGGCAAACAAACGCATAAATATTGCACGTAATTCCTTATCGATGATTGCCTCAGTTTTGGGATAATTTGTTGGTTTCTCCTGGGAGGGAAATGCCAAATCGGCTTGTGATAAATTTGGAAATAATATCATGGTTAGTAGCTCTTGAGTTTGTTCCCACAGCGGTGATGGTAGTACGGGTACGGGTGGTGTTAGTGTTGGTGGTATTGTTACCAAACCACCATCTAAATCGACAACGATTACATCGAGTAATTCATTGATTTCCGACTGCAAGGAGCTGTGGATGCCCATTATAAATGGCGTTGGAGTGGATAAGACTTCGGACAGCGGTGCCGGTAATATTGGTATATATACATGAGTATAACGAAATGGATACATGAGAGCAACGAGAGCTTTACAACTATCCGTTAGGTGGGAATACGATTTCGAATGAAAGAGTATTTTATTTTCAGTCATAACGGCACACAATAGTATGAGGACATTTTTGATGCCTGGAAAAGAGGGAGAGATAGAGAATATTAGTATTAATTAGAAAATTCAGATAAAATAAAATTTAAAAATATTCAAACAGTTGTAAAATATTCAAACGTTTGTAAAATCTGTTGCAGGAGGTCTTCAGGTCGAAAGGAATCCTTTTACCAATAACCATAGTTTTTCCTCCATAGAGGACCGATCCTAAGGAGGTATTCTACATATGTAAGGTATATTAAAATATTTCCTAGGGTATACATCTATTACAATATTAGCAGCTCTAAATTATAAAGGGTTGTTATTCAATAAAAAATCCTGATCAAATATATTTTAAGAATATTCAAAAAGATCGAACTTTGTAAAATCTGTTTCAAGATTTTAGGTCTATAGATATATAATTATTCTGTCCATACAAAAAAACTAAAACTATACAAAAAAACGAGTATTAAATAAAAAATACAGAGAAAAAGTTCAACTAGACCGAACTTAGCTAAATCTGTTTCATGAAGTCTTAAGGTTTATAGAAATCATTTAAAAAGTTTTCTAGTTATTCTGGCCTATAAAAACTATTTCCTCAGTAGAAGAACAGCCCACATATACTTCTGATTACGATGTAATAGTTTTCTTGCGAAATTCATATTTCCTGATATATGGCTTTTCCAAGTTCCAATATGTATGTTTTCCAAGTACAATATGGTATCAATTTTAAGTGGTTAAAGACTTGATTACAAAAAATATAATTATTTGTATAAAGAAGTCCGTATTCTTATTTTTGAAAGGTCTATCGCGTAAGCAGTGTTGGCAGCTGTCTAAAGGAGAAAGACCAATGAACGGATTCTGTCCCATCGCTTAGTTTGGCACCTGAACATAGGAGAAATTTCTTAATACTCATCCGAAGGCCGAACCGCGAAGTAAACCTTAACAAAGTGTTTATTAAAGTTATTTCGAAGACCCAAAAAGCAACTGTCTAACATACAGAAGGTCTATAAAGTTATTCCCTCTGCAGATGTACCCTAGGCAGCATTTTTATCTATAAAAAAAGTTAAAAAAAAAACAACAAAATTATATAACTCACCCAATTGTTTAAACAAAAAATTCACTGATGTCCCGGTGATGGGTAACGATGACGACTGTGGTGGCTGCAACGATTGTTTATCACTTGCCCCGATAGAAAATCGTACCTGTGGCCCACCGGCCGGTGGTACTTGTATACAACCCAATATATTGCCAATCAACGTCTCCAATGCATAGGGTAAATTTTCCACATACACTGTGTAGATGGTACCCAAACAATTTTTAAATGTTTCAGCACAATCTAGACGGGATATTAAAACCAAACATTTGGGGGCATACATAACACTGTGATGTGATATCAGCGAGGTGGAAGTATTCGGTGTCGCGACCGATGATGATGGAATAATGCCATTATTTGTTAAGTTCGAGGAGTTGTTCAGCGGTGAGGAGGAATTTTGATATTTAATCGCTGATGGATGATGCGGATGATGATTGGCGGTAATTGTTTCATCTTCGTCGTCGACAACTTTTTTATTTAGCGTTATGGCTAAGGTCTCGTGAAAACTTAAACAGGCACAATAGTGTTTGTTGGCGTCAATATCGGTTAGAACGGAAGTGAAAAATTTCGGCTCCTGTTTTTCATAAGATAAATTCCAGCCTAATGGTTGACAAAACTAAAAGAGATGGAGAGAGAGAGAGAGAGAGAGAGAAATTTATGAAAAAAAAAGAACCAAAACAAAAAAGAAAGATAAGAGTTGTTCCACTTACCCATTCTATGCCTTCTATAAAGGGTGTATCAGGCCAATCTTTTTCGGGAAAACGTTGTATAATCTTGCCACATGTTAATAGGCTATTTTCGGTGGCATTTCCTAAAAGCAAAGGAAAAACAATAATTTTCCCAAATTCAATAACAAAAATCAAATACTTACTGTCTTTTTCACTATCATAGCCGACAATAACAAAATAATCAGCAAGTCGTGACATTTCTGTGGCAGCAGCAGTCGCAGCACCCGCAATCGGGCAGCAGCTCTAATCGTCGAAAAAAAAAAAGATTTCTTAATTTTGTTGTTGCATTTATGGTTAGTTGTGCTCTTTCGTTTATGCGGCTGTTATTGTTGTTGTTGTTATTTTGTTTATACGCAGAGATTCCGCAAAACGTAGAAAAAAATAAAATCTCTATTTTTCTCTAAACGATGATTGCTTCTTTTAGTGAATATCTCATCAAAGCACACATTTGCTTCATTGCATCAAATGGAATCTCGAACTAATACAATGACCCACAATGATGATGATACCAACCAACAATCACATAAGACCGCCGCTGCCGCCTCCTATCCACCGCCACACTCTCTTCTACTGCTGCTCTTCTTTTTCGAGTTTTTTTCTTGTTCTTGTTGTTTTCTTTTTGTTTAGAATAAATTCATTTGCATAAAAAAAGAAGATACGTTGGCTGGCCCCTCGATCTTTCGCTCCCGCGCACTTGCTGGCCGTATCTATCGTCTTCCTTTAAACGTCTGGTCTGTCTTGCCTTTTTTAATAACTAATTAATTCTATACACGTCGTTTGAATTAAACAACAACACCTTTCCATTCTTTCACGTTTTGTTGTTGTTGTTCGTTCTTGTATACTTTTTTTCGCTACGCCCGTTTCAAAATTTCTTCTTGGTTACTTCTTGTCCAGTGATTTGAAAAAATAATTCACTTCACATAATTTTTTTTTTAAATATCACAAAAAATATTCGCATAGAATGTGAATTTTTGTTGTTGCAGAGTACACTTGACTTTTTTTAACCACACCCCTGTATAAAAGATTGTTTTTTCTTCAACTCTTGTATTTGTATTCGTTTGATTTGTTTCGTTTTTGAATGCTTCTTTTTCGTTTTAGTTTTATTTTTTGTATTTTGTTTATGTTGTATATCGTTTTATATTAGCAAAAGTTATTTTTAACACCTTTTTTCGTGTAAACAAATCAAAATTTATACGCCACTCTTTTCCTTTTAATTATGCGAAGAAACACAAGCGAACAAGTATATTTTTTCCTATTATCAACTGTCAAACGTCATTTGCCAATCGATAGGAAGTTTTTTGTTTTGATGTCAAACAATCGATAGGAATTTATCGTCTGCTTTTGCCGCTAAACAGTGTTGCTAATGTAGCGTCTTTTTGACAATTGAATGAAGAAAAAAGACGATTTTTGTAAATTTAATTGTTTTTCATAATAAAAAGAAGAAATTTTTTTGAAAAAAAAAATTGTAAAAAATATAATAGTGTTATAATGAAAAATAACACTTTTACGCTATAGGTCAAATTTCCTTTTAAATGAATAAATAAATAATTTTAACGTATTATAAAAAAAATTAAATAAAAATTTGTCGGATTCAATGCCAAAGCAAATTTTTTTATATTATATCAACACACACACACACAGAATGTAGAAAAGTATTTTAAAATTCCTACGCAGAACAACATTCCGCGCTGATTAATCGTCTCCTTGTGGTTGTTGAGTTGTTTACTTTTTTAAAAACGCTTATCGTAATATTTGGTCAAGTTTTAGAATAAAACATGGTCTTGAGATGTCAAAAACATTGAAACAGTCCTCGCCGCCTCTCCATTCGAAAATCAGAAGATCATTGTGTTCAACCTGAAGGTGCCTTCCCATCATCCTGCATTGTTGCTACTGATGCATACGAGACAGAAAGTTAAAATATTTGCAGCTACAATTAAGGGCTAAGCAGAATGTTCGCGTTGAGAGTTTTTTGTTATCGCGTTAACGCACGCAAAAAGTTAAAATATATTTAACTCCGAAGTGCAGTAAACATCAACTTCAATCGTTAATGTTAACGTTTCCTTGCGGTTGTTGTATTTTCGATAACACATAACGCGACGGGTGGCTCAACGCGAACATTCTGCTTAGCCCTTTACTTCATTGCAGCAGGTTGATGTTCCCCTGTTGTACTCTGTTGAAGATCCTCTCCATTACTAAGGGTATAGAAACAGCTCCCACTAAAGTCGCTGCGAGCATTTTCAGCCTTCTGACTTGTTTAGTAATTTTACTTCTTAGTCACTACCTTTACAGAGGCCATGGGAGAATTATTTCGATTTGAAGTGTCCTAGTGACCTTTTGATGGTAGTCACGGTTTACTTCTTCACGACTTTTACTGGTATCGGAGGAAATCTTTGACGCTGAATTTACTGAAGTCTTGGTCAACATATCTTTGGCAGAAAAAGATTATCCCCAAATATACCTTCCTGGCCAATACCTCATTGGACTTTGAAAATGTGGATGCAGTCATTGGCAGCGGAATTTCCAAGGTCTATTAATAGCATACACTCTTTGCCCCTTTGCCTTTTATGCGCACTTGACTCAGAAGCACCGGTTTATTGGTTATCGCCGACGCACGTATGACATACCTGACTGATTCTGTTGACTATAAGGAGAGGCTTAGATGACCATAGTATCAACGTAGCCCGGAAGCTACCGTATTCCTCTACCTTTTATGTTTTTGTTTTTTATTATCAATCCATACGTGCAGGACTAGTGAAGCTCTAAGGAGCCATTCCAGGGGCAAGAGATTGTCCCTGTAATGGATTCCGTACTGAAATAATCTACAATTCTTCGCAATATTTTTCGATACCATAAAGAAAAATTCGTTATCGTAGTAAAAAATAGTAGATTCTTGCAGTACTGGAACAGACCATAATATAGTAAAAAAATTACAATTTTGCAGTTTCTGGAACAGACCTATAAAAATGCCCATGGTGGAGATTTTCAATCTCAATCATGCCCGACCTTAAAGGGCTAAGCAGAATGCTCGCGTTGAGCCATCCGTTGCGTTTTGTGTTATCGAAAATACAACAACCACAAGGAAACGATAACTCTAACGCATGAAGTTGATGTGCGCTGCGCTTTTAAGTTAAATATATTTTAACTTTTTGCGTGCGTTAACGCGATAACAAAAAACGCTCAACGCAAACATTCTGTTTAGCCCTTAAGGAATTTTTTATTTGGTATTTTTCCCTGTAAAGTACTTTTGACTGCGATAAAAAGTTTCCTTTATTAAATCGACAAAAAATAGAAAAAAAAAACAAGTACATTCATGCAGAACGGGAACAGACCAATTATTTATGGTTTTATTTATATATTCGGACAATACGAGATTCCAAAACACTGTTACATTTTCCAAATATTACTTATCAACACACTACACCTTCTATTACTGGCTGTTATCGATTTTTTATCGAATCAACTGTAATGACAACAAAACAAACATCATGGCAACCCTCAATTATAGTATGTCAACTAAACACAGCTCGTTTTCCATAATTTTGACATTTCATAAGCAAAATGTTTTTTTGGTGAGGAGGAGAGGCTTTTTCCAAAACAAATATTAAATTATTTAAAAGAAAAGCTATAAAATATAAAGAAATAATTGGTGATAGGGCTTTATTAATACAGCACCAAGGTGGTGGAGTATTTGTTTATATTTTCAATAACAATTTGCTGACACAAAACGATGGCACAAGAATCTAAACCCGCTGGCGATACCAAGGATTCTTCTACAGGCCTCGTTGAGGCCATAATTAAAAAAGAAAAATTCGATCCAGAAGTGGAAAAAAAGATACAGGAACTTAAGGTGGGCAAGAAATCAACAGCGGGGCAGACAGATGAGAAGAAATTAAAGAAGAGTGGCGATGAAAGTCAAAGTTCTGAAGATGAAGAAGAGGATAGTTCGGGTGAGGATACTGATGCTGACGACGACGAGGAGGAGGATGAAAAGAAAAACATTGAACCGGTAAAGAGTTCTAATGAGATATTGGAAGAACTCTTTAAGGTGTTCAATGCCAAGCCACCCGAAGAATTGCTGGACGATAAAAATTTAATTGAAAAAACACTGAAACGTAAAAAGGACAAGAAAAAGAAACATAAACGGAGTAAATCTGGTGATGATCACAGCGACTCCGAAAGTGATGCAAAAGAAGAGGGGGAGGAGGGCCGCAGCAGCCCATCTGGCGACAAGAAGAAACACAAAAAGAAAAAGAAACATAAACACAAGCATAAAGATGGTGAGAAATCGAAATCCAAGAAGAAGAGTAAGGATGCGGATAAGGAAAAGATTAGAATTAAAGAAGAAGACAAATTGACGACGTCGGGGGATAGGAAGAAAAGTAAGGATAGGGATAAACACAATGGTGATAAGTTGAAAGACACCTCTAACAAACACCACTCACATCACAGCACTGATGATAAGCATCATCGAAGAGATTCATTGGAAAAGCGAACCTCCTCTTCTTCCGCCGCGGATCACAAGAGACATCATGACAAAGATCATCATGAGGATTCTCATAAACGTCGTAAGACTGATGATAAGGTTAATCCATTCTATAGCAGCAGTTCCAAAGATCTTAAACATTATGACAAGGATAAGTCTGAAACGATTAAAATTAAAACTGAACCGGTGGACAAAGGGACGAGTAGCAGTTCCAAACGCCACGAGGATGGTGAAATATCAGAAATTTCATTATCCGATGAGGAGGACTACTTGGAAGAGAGACGGGATAACAAATATAAAAGTCACAATAGTTTTTATGCTGGGGCAAAACGCAGTCGAAGCCGGGATAACGAACGCCACTACACCAAAGAACGATTTCGTGATAGAACAGGAAGAGAAGGAGATCGTGATGGTGGTGGCAGCTATCGTCGTGGCGGTAGAAATTATTCCCATCGTTCCAGATCTCGATCACGTTCCCGTGATCTGGGCATCGATAAGAAACGCCTCCTGGAAATTGCCCGTAAAAATGCCATTAGCATGTTTAAACGTGGTAATTTACCCGGCTGTGCTAATATGACGGAAGACGTCAAGGATAAGGTGCTACTGAAAATGCGTTATGGCGGACGTACTGTCGAAGATTTAACAGAATTTTGTAAGAAAATATCCAACGGAGAACATCTTTCCGAGTTGAGTTCTGATGAGGGCTCAGATATTGATAAGTCGGGTAATGCCAAGGCCTTCCATCATCCGTTCCAAATAAAGGAACGTGAACCGATTGTAATGCATATACGTAACTCGAAACCGATTGTGCCAGCACCAGCTAAGACCGAAGAACAGACGAAGACAATTACAATGCAATTTCCGGTATCTTCGGGGCAACAACATCGTATGACCGAGGCCTGGATACCGGTGGAACCGAAGGAAAAACTACCACCACTGCCAGTACTGCCGGCAGCAACACAATCCACATCGATATTTAAAAGTTCGGTGGCGAAGAATGCCCTGGGAAAACCGCTGCCCAAGGAAAGTGAGCAAGAGCCCGCCTTTAAGCCAGTGGACAATACAGGTGCAGCAACAAATGTAACAACAACGCAGAGCACCTCCACCACCAGCCCTGAAATGCCACCAGCTGTTACAACTGTGCCAACCAGTATTGTTCCTGCTCCCCAAAATGTAGCGTGTATACCGCCACCAGTACCACCTCCCTATTTCTATGGTCAACCACCACAACAAACTATGCATGGTGGTATGCCAGTGCCGCCAACACTTCCAGTACCCCCGCCAGGGATGCCTGCGATACCACCACAAATGTTGACACAACCTGCGCCAACTAGTTTTACCCCCGATGTGCCTGTTCCCTCCTCAACCTCCAACCCAGCCTCAATTTCAGTTTTTCCTGAGCCTCCATCCCAGCCAATGGATGTTTCGGCAATTATTTCTAAAAGGCTAAATGCCATGCGGCGGTTACAGGTACAGTCACACACACACACATAATTCATTTGTTTTTCTCCAATAATATCGTTTCCCTTTTTATTTCAGGAAAATCCCATGGATTCCGAGGCCATAAAGATGATGTATAATTCCCAAAAAGAAATGACCACATGGGCTGCATCCAAACATTTGCCAGGGCAATTTACTGGCAGCACCGGTGTCAATGTTCTCAAACCCAATCAATTACACTCGGGACCCCAGCATTGGGCCAGACGTGATCAATTGACCTCCACCAAACCGGTAACCGGTGGCATGGGCATGCATCTGTTGCAAAAAATGGGTTGGAAACCTGGTGAGGGTCTGGGTCGAGAAAAGAATGGCTCACTCCAACCTTTACTACTCGATGTTAAATTAGATAAACGTGGCCTCGTAGCCCAAGAAGATATACGGCCAACGAAATCCAAAAAAGGTGGTGGAGGTGGTGTTGTTCAACGTAATAATGGTCCCGCCGCCGCCAATCAACGACTTCCTGAAAATCCCCAAAACAAACATCCCGTTTGTTTGCTAAATGAAATTACGACGAAAAACAAATGGACACCACCACTCTATACTGTGGTCCAGGAAAGTGGCCCACCACACAGTCGTATGTTTTTATTCTCGGTACAGGTTAATGATAAAACCTTTACACCATCGAAACTTTGCAATAACAAGAAAGAAGCCAAATTTCAGGCAGCTAAATTATGTCTGCAAGAAATGGGTATTTTGCCACCAGATTAAAAAAGAAAACAAACGGGATGGGCTCTACGTCTCTCGTTCGGCTACTTCTTATTTTTAGTAGCAATGAATTTAATAATATATATATTTTTTTGTTTCTCACATTAATTCTCTATATATTTGTTAGTGTAGTTAGTATATAAAATTTATATGTCATATAAACATATGTACTTTATATATATATACAGCCTTATGTTTAGTTGTGTAAATAAAATTATGAATAAAAAATATTTATTCAAACAAAATATTTGATATTTTATTAATCTTGAAAATATTCTTTAAAAAATCTACGCCTTGTTGATGGGTCTTGAAATAAAAAATCTTTAAAAAATCTACGCCTTGTTGATGGGTCTTGAAATAAAAAATCTTTAAAAAATCTACGCCTTGTTGATGGGTCTTGAAATAAAAAATCTTTAAAAAATCTACGCCTTGTTGATGGGTCTTGAAAAAATATTCTTTAAAAAATCTACGCCTTGTTGATGGGTCTTTAAAAAATCTACGCCTTGTTGATGGGTCTTGAAAAAATATTCTTTAAAAAATCGACGCCTTGTTGATGGGTCTTGAAAAAATATTCTTTAAAAAATCTACGCCTTGTTGATGGATCTTGAAAAAATATTCTTTAAAAAATCTACGCCTTATTGATGGGTCTTGAAAAAATTTTCTTTAAAAATCGACGCATTTATTCTTTAAAAAATCTACTTTAAAAAATCGACGCCTTGTTGATGGGTCTTGAAAAAATATTCTATAAAAAATCTACGCCTTGTTGATGGATCTTGAAAAAAAACATTTTTTAAAAAATCTACGCCTTGTTGATGGGTCTTGAAAAAATATTCTTTAAAAATCGACGCCTTTATAACCCTCTGGAAAAATATTCTTTAAAAAATCTACGCTCTGATGAGCCTAAGAAACAACATTCTTTAAAAAAAAATATAAGCCTTGCTGGGCCTTGAAAAAATATTCTTTAAAAAATCTACATGTTGAATGAATATATATTTTTTATTTTCATGATTTAATGGAAATAAAAAATATTTTAAATTAAAAAATTTATAATCTGAACTATACGCCTAGCTGCACTCTCCAGCTTTCCATCAATCATACGCTCCCCCATAAACACAAATGTGTCGGTCTCTAATTCAATCCATATTTGCATGTTTTTAAATCGGCACATTCTATGTCTTTTTTTTATTTTATTAATTTTTTGTATTGTATCATTTATATTTCATAATTTATTATATTTCATAATTTTTTAATCGATTTCGTTTAATTTATTGTTATTTTTTTTTCTCCAATTCGTATAATGAATATTGTAACGCCTAAAAGTATGCAAAACATTTTAATAACACTGCATATAACCTTAACCCATTGTGCCAATAAATGTTATGAGAAAGCTTTTTTGTGTGTTTGACACTTTGATAACATTGATTGTGCTGCTGCTCGACATCATCTCAACAAAACCTTTCACTTAATTTGTGTGTGTGTATGGGAGTGTGCGTGTGTGTGTGCATTTGTTTATGTTTTTAATTTCTATTATTTGTTGTTCGTCCTTTCTCCGCAGCATGTTTATGCGCAAATGCTTCGTTGCCATACGAAAAAAATGTAAACAAACAACAACTGGGTGAGCATGATAGCAACAACAACACATTGACGACTGCACTCAGCTGAGATTTGTTGTGTTGTGTATTTGTTTTAACAGTTGTTTTGCTCTCCTTGTAGGACCTCCAAAATTCGTATTGTGAGCCAAAGGCATTTTTATGCTTGAGTAAAAGTTTGCGTTGTTTTGTCGTCGTTGTTGTTGTTTTGTCTTGGGCGACGATTACAAGGTGCCAGGTTTTTAACCCCTTTTTTAATGCTTGAACAACTAAATTGCAACAACAACAAGGACAACAACGACAGAAATAGTTGTAGTAGTTGCTTTAGCCAAAGTGCAGTCTAACACTTGTACCTTGTATTTGACTTGTCCTCCGTTGATTATTGTCATCTTGGCTGTCATTGTGTGCACACTGTACACTCAGGCAAACAGATATAGAGAGCAAATCATCAACATCTAACAAAACATAACAAGAAAAAAAGCAAACAACTGTGAAGGTCGTCTGTTAACCGTTGGCGTTGTGTGCAAGTGACTGTGCGTGTGCCTAATTGTGTTTTGTTGTTGCACATAACTTCAATTGTGTACTCAACCTAGTGACATTTGCTCCCACAGGAGAGCCGGAAATTTGCAAAGTGAATGAGAAGACATTTACTCTCACTAACTAACGGCTGATTTCTCTGTGTTAGGCAGGCAGGCAGGCAGACAGGAGTCTGCTTGCTCCTATTGGCATAGAAAAACAAACAGAACAGAACTGAAATTAGTTTGACCGAGGTTTTCAGGCCTCTAATAAAAAGTGTGTTACTATTATTACGAAGACGAAGAAGACGACTTTAACATAGAAAAACGATGTAGAAATGTTGGGCCACCACATTGTGAGAGTACGCAGCATAACATAATTTTGTTAGATAGGCGATAGCACACAACGACTAAGGAGGTTGTTTGGCTGGCTGAATGGTTTGCTGATTTTTGTTTTTGCCTGCCTTGTTGATGATGAGGCAGAAAAGCAGGACAACAACAACAACAAACGGCAAACAAAAGCCAAGCACAGTTTTAATGTAATAACGATTTTTTGGGAGAATTTAACATCAGTTGCCAATTGGAACTCGCAACAGAAGGATGTCAAATTTGTGAAGAAGGGCCAAGCTAATTTGTGTGTGTAATAACGAAAGAAAAATAGAGGCAAATAAATTGGGTTGATTGTGTGAGTGTGTATATCACTGAGATTTGATGTTGTACAAAGAAAACATAAACTTTTAAATATTGTTTTCTTAAACTAAAGAAAAGAAGAAGGAGAGCAGCAAATCAAGGCATCATCATTCATCATGGAAACATGTCGTACTTGTGCCAAATGTGATTTCGATAATCCTTCCCAGTGGCTGGATTTATTTAATGTCCAGCATTGGAAACCTGAAACAGAGCGTATACACATTGTCTTGAGTGGCTGGAAAATTAAGGTAGGTATCCCAACAGCCCTTCAGATTTTTCTTAAAGAAAAATATTTAAATTAATTTTTTTCTCGCATACAGATATCATGCAATGATGGCCTGCCCCAAAAAATATGCACCGATTGTTTTTCGAAATTTTGCACCGTGGCGGAATTTCGCCTGCAATGCCTGGAGGCCCAACAAATTTTAAGCAATATATTTGATAAAATCGATAGCCAGAGTATACAGGGCGATGAGGAGGATGATGGTGAGGGGGACAATGGTGTTGAGAGTGTGGGCTGTGTGGGAGACGACCAAGTAGTATATGAAGACTATGAACAGCACTCCATTGAAATGGATAAGCACAATTTAACAACCACAATATCCCCACAAAGTGTTACAAATACTGCAGTAGTAGAACAAGCCGCAGCAGCAACAACATCCTTAGCAACCACAATTGTTGTTACCCCAACAGGACGACAAGTCATCGAAGTCGAAGCAGAAAATCTACTCAAATCGTGTAGTAGTAGTAATAATAATGATATTGGTGAGTATTGGAAGCCACCAATCCCAGGAGATGATGGGCTCCCCCCAAAAAAGTAGGTCTCTTCTACTTGGGTATGCAAATATTCCTTTTGCTGCTCAATTGTTTGCAGTAATACTCGGAGAGCCGAAAAATAGTTCCAAACACACTCGAACTCACACACAGACAGAGGCAGGCGAAAAAGAGGAATCTATCACACATTCGTACTCGGCATTGTTGTTGTTGGTTTGTTTTTGTTTTGTTTCTTTTTACTACGATTTGTTTGTGTTTTTATTTTGTTTTTCGTTTCGTTTCATTTTGTTTTTAATTGAGGCAGGTCAATGGACTCTTGTTGATTTTGAGATGTGTTTTTTTTGGTGGTGCGCCACCCGCCAAACCTTTTAACCTCATCTCATCCACCTCGTGACGTCCTCATTTTTTTTTTAATGGTTGAATTTTAACTACTGTTTGCAAAATTTTCTATCAAAGCTATTTAGACATCCGGGAATGTAGATGTGGTTGTTTATTTTTTGGTTGGATGTGTCGCCAACAACAGATGACATAGCATCCATGTGGATACCAACCCGACCCATTTATGTGGTAACTTTTTATTGATTTGTTAAGTTTTATGGGACTTTTTGTAATTAGCAAATGGTTTTAGGGGAGGTGTGGGCGGAATTCTGTTGTTTGATTGCGGAAATGAAAGAGGTAATTTAGAATGGAGTGTTATGAGGACTATTAGATGTAATTGGAAATGTTTTGTGGCTGGGTTTAATGAAGGAGCGTATGATTGATGGAAGGATGCAGGATTGTGTAGCAAGGCGTATGGTTTAGATTTGAAAAGGGGCGTCGATTTTTTAAAGAAATATTTTTTGTTCAAGGCGTAGATTTTTTAAAAATATTTTTAAGGCGTAGATTTAAAAATATATATTTTTTTAGTCTCTAGATTTTTTAAAAAATATTTTTGGGTGTAGATGTTTTAAAAAATATTTTTTGGGCGTAGATTTTTTAAAAAAATAGTAGATTTTTTAAAAAATATTTTTTTGGGCGTAGATTTTTTAATAAATATTTTCAAGGTATAGATTTTTTAAAAATAATTTTAAAGCCTCAAAATTTCTTAAAAATATTTTTTCAAAGCGTAGATGTTTTAAAAAATATTTTTCAAGACGTAGATTTTTTAAAAAATATTTTTTCTAAACGTACATTTAAAAAAAAAAATATTTTTTTAAAAAAATATTTTTTCAAGGCTTAGATTTTAAAAAAAATATTTTTTTCAAGGCTTAGATTTTTAAAAAAAAATATTTTTTCAAGGCGTGGATTTTTTAAAAAATTTATTTTTTCAAGGCATGGATTTATTTAAAAAAAAATATTTTTTCAAGGTGTAAATTTTTTTAAAAAAAAAATTTTTCAAAGTGAAGATTTTAAAAAAAAAATATTTTTTCAAGGTGTAGATTTAAAAAAAAAATATTTTTTCAAGGTGTAGATTTTTTAAAAAAATATTTTTTCAAGGTGTAGATTTAAAAAAAATATTTTTTTCAAGGTGTAGTTTTTTTTTAAATATTTTTTCAAGGTATAGATTTAAAAAAAAATATTTTTAAAGGCGTAGATTTAAAAAAAAAATATATATTTTTTAAGGCTTAGATTTTTTAAAAAATATTTTTTAAGGCTTAGATTTTTTAAAAAATATTTTTTCAAGGCGTAGGTTTTTTTAAAAAATATATTTTTTTAAGGCATAGATTTTTTTAAAAAATATATTTTTTTAAGGCATAGACTTATACAAAAATATATTTTCAAGGTGTAGATTTTTTTGAAAATATTTTAAGGCGTAGAATTTTTTAAAAAGTATTTTTAAGGCGTAGATTTTTTAGAAAATATTTTATCAAGGCGTAGATTTTTTAGAAAATATTTTATCAAGGCGTAGATTTTTTAGAAAATATTTTATCAAGGCGTAGATTTTTTAGATTTTGTTAAAAAGTATTTTTTTAAGGCGCAGATTTTTTTAAAAAAATATTTTATAATGCTTAGTTTTTTTTAATATTTTTTTTAAGGCGTAGATTTTTTAAAAAAATATTTTTTCAAGGCGTAGATTTTATAAAAAATATTTTTTCAAGGCGTACATTTTTTAAAAAAATATTTTTTCTAGGTGTACATTTTTTTAAAAAAATATTTTTTCAAGGTGTAGATTTTTTAAAAAAATATTTTTTCAAGGTGTAGATTTTTTTTGCTTTTTTTATTTATTTATTTTTTTTTGAGGCGCAAATTTTTTACAAAATATTTTTTCAAGTTGTAGATTAATAAAAATAATTTTCAAGGCGTAGATTTTCTAAAAAAATATTTTTTCATGGCGTTAATTTTTTAAAAATATTTTTTCAAGGCGTAGATTTTCTAAAAAAATATTTTTTCATGGCGTTGATTTTTTAAAAATATTTTTTCATGGCGTTGATTTTTTAAAAAAAAATTAGAAAAAATACATTTTTTCAAGGCGTACATTTAAACAAAAAAATATTTTTCAAGGCCAAGATTTCTTAAAAAATATTTTTTCAAGGCGTAGATTTTCTTACAAAATATTTTTTCAAAGCAAAGATTTTTTAAAAAATATTTTTTTATAGCGTGAATTTTTTAAAAAATATTTTTTCAAGGCGTTGATTTTTTTAACATTTCTTCTTTTATTTCAGTTCATACGAAGTCCTCCTTGGACAGCATATTAACTATGGCCAATGATGTGGGCAACAACAATAACACCGAGGTTTCATTTCGATCGTTATCAACAATAACAACAACAAATACAACAAATGACACTGCCGTTATAATTAACGAAAATGACAAAACAAATTGTTGTCCCAACGATTTCCTAGATGATAATAATAGCACTAACAACAACAACAGCAACACCAACCACGACGAAATAATAACAGAAGATACCAACGATTTAGATGAAAATGATCTCATCGAAGAGCTAATCGATGAATTTGTGGATGTTATCGAAGATCGAGAAGCAGAATCCGAAATCAATGATAATATCATTATTGATCATTCTCGGGATCAAAATCAGAATAATATTTACCCGAATGAAATCGAAGAATTTTTACTAACAAATAATAACAATGGAATAACGGAAAAGGCTGAGGAGGAAAGAGAAGCGGAAGAGGAAGAAACGGATTACAAAGCCGATAATTTAAATATCACCTTCGAATGTAAATATTGTTACAAATGGAAAAATGGTGCTAGTGAAATGTTTCAAACTCAGCAGGAATTATTGAACCATATCGCCGAATTTCATGCCTCCCACAATAATCCCTATAATTGCCCATATTGTGAGGAATGTTTTATGGATGCCGCTTCACGTACCACACATCTCAAAGAGGCACATAGTCAAAAGTTGCATTCTTGCGAGGTGTGTGGTAAAAAATATGCTGATAAATTTAATTTACGAAATCATGTAGAGAAATACCATAGCGGAACGGATTTCGATTGTACGCTATGCGCGAAAAGTTTTTGCTCGAGTAAAAGTCTAAATTATCACATGAAATGGCATAATCCCAAAGAACAGCTAAAATGTAGCTATTGTGATCGTTTGTTTATTAATCAGCGGCATCTGAAGGTACACGAAGAAACGCATACCGGATTTCGCAGTCAAGAAGTTTGTTCGTTTTGTGGGAAGTGTAAGTAAATGCTAGGAAAGAAATTTTTTCCACAGTCCTCAAGGTGTAGATTTTTTAGGAATATTTTTCTGAAACTCATCAAGTCGTAGATTTGTTAAAGAATATTTTTTCGATGTCCCTCAAGCCGTAGATTTTTAATAAAATATTGCTTTAAGGCCTAGCAAGGCGTAGATTTTTTAAAGAATATTTTGTTGTCAAGGCTTAGATTTTTAAAAGAATATTTTTTAAGGCGTAGATTTATAAAAAATATTTTTTAAGGCGTAGATTTATAAAAAATATTTTTAAGGCGTAGATTTATAAAAAAATAGTTTTTCAAGACGTAAATTAAAAAAAAAATATTTTTTCAAGGCGTAAATTAAAAAAAAATATTTTTTCAAGGCATAAATTAAAAAAAAAATATTTTTTAAGACGTAGATATATAAAAAAATATTTTTTTCCTGGCTTAGATTTTTAAAAGAATATTTTTAAAGCGTAGATTTATAAAAAAAATATTTTTTAAGGCGTAGATTTATAAAAAAAATATTTTTTCAAGGCGCAGTTTTATAAAAAATATTTTTGTAAGATTTATAAACAAATATTTTGTTAAGGCGTAGATTTATAAAAAAATATTTTTTCAAGGCGTAGATGTATAAACAATGTTTTTTCAAGGCCTAGATTTATAAAAAAATATTTTTTTTCAAGGCGTTGATTTATAAAAAATGATTTTTTCAAGGCCTAGATTTATAAAAAATATTTTTTCAAGATGTAGATTTAAAAAAAAAATATTTTTTTAAGGCGTAGTTTTATAAAAAAAATTTTTTTCAAGGCGTAGTTTTATATAAAAATTTTTTTTTCAAGTTGTAGTTTTATAAAAAAAATATTTTTTCAAGGCGTAGTTTTATAAAAAAATATTTTTTCAAGGCGTAGATTTATATTTTTTTCCAAGAGTAGATTTATAAAAAATGTTTTTTGAAGCGTAGATTTATAAAAAATATTTTTTCAAGGCGTAGATTTATATTTTTTTCCAAGCGTAGATTTATAAAAAATGTTTTTTGAAGCGTAGATTTATAAAAAATGATTTTTCAAGCGTAGATTTATATGTTTTTTCAAGGCCTAGATTTATAAAAAAAATATTTTTTAAGGCCTAGATTTATAAAAAAAAATATTTTTTTTCAAGGCGTAGATTTATAAAAAAAATATTTTTTCAAAAAAAAAAATTCAAGGCGTAGACTTATACAAAATGTTTTTTCAAGGCGTAGATTTATAATTTTTTTTCAAGGCGTAGATTCATAATTTTTTTTTCAAGGCCTAGATATATAAAAAAAATATTTTTTCAAAAAAAAAATTTTTTTTAGGGCATAGATTTATGAAAAATGTTTTTTTTTTTTCAAGGCCTAGATTTATAAAAAATATTTTTTTTCAAGGCGTATATTTATAATTTTTGTTTCAAGGCGTAGATTTATTAAAAATGTTTTTTCAAGGCCTAGATTTATAAAAAATATTTTTTTCAAGGCCTAGATTTATAAAAAAAATATTTTTTCAAGGCGTAGATTTATAAAAAAAATATTTTTTTCAAGGCGTAGATTTATAAAAAAAATATTTTTTTCAAGGCGTAGATTTATAAAAAAAATTTTTTTTTCAAGGCCTAGATTTATAATAAAAATATTTTTTCAAGACGTAGATTTATAAAAAAAAAATTTTTTCAAAAAAATAAATATAAATATTTTTTCAAAAACATATTTTTTTCATAACGTAGATTTAGAAAAAAAATTTTTTTAAAGCGTAGATATATAAAAAAATATTTTTTTCGAGACGTACATAGATTTATAAAAAAAATATTTTTCCAAAAATATATTTTTTTCAAAGCGTAGATTTAATAAAGAAAATATTTTTTTCAAAATAATATGTTTTCATGGCCCAACAAGGCCTAGATTTATAAAAAAAATATTTTTCAAATCTTCTTAAGGCGTATAAAAAAAAATAAATTTTTTCAAATATTCTCAAGGCGTAGATTTTTTCATATAATCTTAAAGTATTTCATTTCAGATTTCTTTCATTTAAAAACGTTGAGATGGCATATTTTTCGGCAACATGGTGGTGAAAAACCTTACAAATGCGCGAGATGTCCTGAAGGTATTTTCTTAAAAAAAAAAATAGCTAAACCATTTTAACTTTGGGCCCCAAGGTCCTACTGCAATTTAATTTTCTTTAATGTGCTTGTTTTTATCACCAGTTTTTATCTCCTACTTCGAAAAACGCCTACACATGCTCGAATACCATTTGGACAACTTGACACTGATTGAAAAAACCGAATGTATGTTGTGCCGTAAGCGTTACGACAACGAACTGGTACTCAGGGATCATATGCTCGAAGACCATAAGGAGAATAAAGGAGCTGTAAAAATCGCCAATAATAAACGCATCATTATGAATAAGAAACCGAAAAGTTTTACTGGTTTGTTCCATTGTGAAAAATGTGATAAACGTTTCAATATGAAATCGGCCTTGGAGCGGCATATGGCTGTGCATTCGGTGGAGGGAAGGTAATGAAATTTCAATTTGGTATTTTTCAAAATGTTGATTCATGTGAGATTTTTAGGCCTCACGCCTGTCCCCAGTGCCCGAAACGTTTTAAACGTTCCCAGGATATGAAATGGCATTTGAAGACACATTCTTCCGAGAAACCCAATATATGTGATATTTGTGGCAAGGGATTTGCTTTGAAATATGTTCTGACTCAGCATCGGAGGAGTCATGAGGGTAAGATTTTTGTGAACATATTTTGTAAGTCTTATCAAGGTGTAGATTATTTAAAAAAATATATTTTTTTTTATTATTTTCTAGTTCTCGAGAAGAATTTCACCTGCACCACATGTGGACGTTCATATCTGTTTGAAAAATCATTGCGTTTACATGAACGGATTCACAGCGGCAAGACCTATTACAAATGTGATTTGTGTAGTGAAAGTTTTGTAACACACATTAAATTTAAATGTAAGTATTCCCCCCCGGGGGACCGAATAATATTAACTATAAGCAAAATACTATTTTTTTATTTACACCTTCAGGGCACATGAAAAAAATGCACGACGAAGAGGAAGTGGCTGCAAATACAAATCTAAATTCGAATTATAATAACACCAACAATAACAAAAATAATATTAGCAATAACAACAATAATAATAATAAAAAGAACACAGAGCTGCCGTTGGATGACTTGGTAAATATTGTGATTACTTAGCAATAAATTTATTAGACAATATTTAGAAGAAAAAAAAGTATTTTGTTTTAAACACAGTTTTTGTGAAACTTGGAAACCAATACAAAAATAATAATATACATATTATATTAAATATTATATATAAAGAATATAGCACAAATGACCATTAGTTTTTAAAGAAAACAAATACATATAAAGAAATAAGCGAAAATTAAAAAATTGTAGTAGTAAATGTATAATGCTCAAAAGGTATATTTATAAAAAAAATTGCATTTATTTTAAACCAAAAAAGATTCACATATATTTTAATTCAAATTGTTAGTTAAGTTAAATGGCAAAATAAATGATAATGTATTACTAGTAGTTGAGCCAAAGGCTTTTAAATGCAAAACGAAACCAAATATTTTAAAAATTTTACCTTCACTAAATAAATAAAAAACACCTATTAAAACTTATTACTCCTTTTTAATAATCCATTTAGATGAATATTTTAGGTTTAATCTATAAAACTTTTTTTATAATAAATATATTGTTTGATATTTTTAAAACTATTCATAATTTATTTTTATATTAAACAATTTTAATTAATATATTTTAAACTAATTATTAAATATTTATGCTAAATGTTAAACTATAATAAATATTCTAAATAAAAAATAAAAAAAAATTGTTTTTAATATTTTTATAAAATAAATTTTTAATGTATACCTCATGAATAATAGTACGTTTATATTTAACCGGATTTCGTTAACCCAGTGGGTTTCAATTGTCAATTCTTTTGAATATATGTCAAATAAATCCTTATAAAGTTGGCCCGGCAAAAAGTTGTAATGTATATGCCGTTTAAGGGGTTTATTTCATGACGATTTACTGGTTTTATATTCATATTTATTTTAATATTTCGTTTTTCTATCCAAATTTTGTAACAAATTGTATTTGAAAAAAATTATTTTATAATTGCTTTAATTTTTATGCAATAGCAATAAACATTTTACTCCAATTTTATTCCTACTTATCTTCAGTATTCTGATGAAATATTACACTTAAAAATGTACTTATTCTTATTCATTATTAATAAATTAATTTTAATTTAATAATTCATTTATTTTTATTAAAAATAAATAAAAATCTCTTTATTTTGACAATATATAAAGTTCTCCTCGCATTTATACGCGTTAATAGTGTGGCGGCGCTTATCAACACAAATACCAACGGCGTCAACAATTCCCCATAGGCATACACGGTACTCTCTGCAAACAGCAGCCAATCACAAATGACCACATACTAATGCAACTCTGTTTACACTCTGAACTGACGTGTGTTTTTGTGTTTTGAAACAAGAAGAGAAAATAGAAACGACGATAAAACTTAAAAAATCTACCTAGGGGACACAAACGAACGAATTTGGCTGGCCATTTTCAATAAATAGATCAAACAGAAAACAAGAACAAAACTATTTGCAAGTGGAAATTACTTTTAGCAGCTGTGGAATAATAACATTAATACAATAAAACAATAATATTCTTATTGGAAAATAAGTTAGCTGAGAAATTATATCTATCTGTCTACCTGTATAAGAAGAACGTAAAGAAGAAGAGGAAGTGGCAAGAATTACACTGATAAAAAGCACACAGCATATATAGAAAGTGCTTTGGTCATTTTGTGTCTAACGTTGTCGTGTCTTGCTTGCTGCTGTGCCACGCTACCAACCAAACCCTTTGTAAATTTTGAAGATTTTCTAGAATTTTGATAAAAGTAAACATCAGAATTTTAATGTTTGGTGAATCTGTGCTGGGATTAGCTATTTGTTGACAAGATGGTGGTATCATTACCCGAAATATTGAGCCTGGGCGGTGAAAAAAAGTTGACAGCTTGTTTGCTTTTGTTAATATTGGAATTATTTTTGGAAGGTCAGTAGCAATACCGGGTGTTGGTCGCCTACAAAACATTTCTTTAAATATTAAAAAAAAAACTATCAAAACTACAATGGCCTTGACCTTGCACGCACGTCCCACTGCATATTTGGTTAAACGCCTACTTATTTGCCATTAACAGAGTATCGTATGAATGAATTTTTAATTAACATTGTTAACAAAATGATTATTGATTGACTAATATTTTGTTTTTGTTTATTTTCAATAGGGGCTGAGGCAGTTCCAAATTCCGCCGATATTGAAAATCATTTGGAATTGGGTAAACAGTTTTTGGCCCACAATCAATTAAGTGATGCCCTGACACATTATCATGCAGCTGTTGGTAAGTGAATTGCTGGTAATCATCGATTGTTTGATCCTATGTAACATGTTTGTTTGTGTGTGTTTTTTGTTTTGTTTATTTTTTAGAGGGCGATCCCAACAACTATTTGACTTTGTTCAAACGCGGCACAGTCTATTTAGCCATGGGTAAAACCCGTTTTGCCATACAAGATTTTAGCCGGGTCTTGGATTTGAAACCAGATTTCACAGCGGCCCGTTATCAACGTGGCACAGTCTATATGAAAAGTGGTGAATATCAACAAGCTGCAGCGGATTTTGAACAAGTGGTAAGTGGAGTTAATGTGAACAGGGATTGGTTTTTGAAAAAATTGAGATAAAGAAAATGAACGATTTTTGACCGATATCTTATCTATGTGATTTATGATAAGGGGTGAGGAGATTTTGAAATGTTTTGGGAAAACAAATACACGCAATGCCTACACGAAACTTTCGGAAATATGGTAGCTTTGTCGACAGTCAGATATGCGATTAGGAACCTTCAAGACGAAGAGGAATCACCACAATTTACATTATTCTCATTAGAAGCGCAAAATCATACAAGCGTTTGGAGTAAAGTACGTAACCAAGGTCCTCGTTAGCCTTCCTTATAGTTCTCAATACCAGGAACATAGATCGGGTGTCCTCATAACATAACGGGTGTCAACATAACAAGTTGTAGCCAATGCAATATATGTTTGGGTGCTACAGATTCAGCATTCCGAATCACAATCGATTTGCAGCCACCGTTCAGAAATGTTAGGAAGAATCTTCCAGATCTAGAGAGAGAGAGAGGTCCAGATGTACAAAAGGGAACATTTTTATCTAGAGACTATTTTCAAACAGGATTGACAATCTGGTGTAGATGAGGGTGCAATACAACAATAGAGGTTTGGTTCTGACACAAAGATCAGGGTGGTATAACATCCTCAATTATTGGAGTGTTTTATCGGTGGACATCTCTCCATAGTAGAACCAAAGGCCTTCAAAACGATCTAGATCTTTTCTATATAGGGAAGAACCTTTGGATGGTTTTCTGATTAAAAAAAAAAACCTGCAAAGTCTAGGCTGTATAAATGACTCTTTAAGTTTCTTTCTATAAAATCGATCCTAGTTTTGTATTATTCATTATTATATCTAATCAATTTCCCCTTTTTGGTCTTTACAGCTCTATGAAGAACCACACAACGAGCACGCCCACGAATCATATTCTCGCATTGCACCCGCCGAAGAACAATGGCTTATAGTACAGGATTTAATGGCACGCGGCGATTATAGAAATGCCATTCCCATGCTGACACAACTTTTAGAAATTTCACCATGGTGTGTGGCATTCCGTCAAACACGTGCCGATGCCTATATCGAATTAAATGATCTCCTCGCCGCCATATCTGACCTGCGTTCAGTAAATAAATTATCACAAGATAGTACCGAAGGTTATTATCATCTCGCCCTGCTGTTGTATAAAATCGGTCATGCCACCAGCGCTCTGAAGGAGATACGTGAATGTTTAAAATTCGATCCTGAACATAAAGACTGTTTCCCATTCTATAAGAAGCTGAGAAAGGTGGAAAAGGGTATTTCAAATGCTGAACAATATCGTGACGAAAAGCAATATCAAGATTGTATACAATCGGCCGAATCCGTGTTGAAACACGAAATGGAGGAGCAAATGATAATCTATGAAGCAAAGCGTATTCTGTGCACATGTTCGGTGCGCAACGAAGATCATGGCAAGGCGCTGGGCTATTGTAAGGATGCCTTGGACATCATGAAAGATGCCCAAATACTCTGTGATCGTGCCGAAGCCTATATGGGTTCGGAAATGTATGACGATGCCATACATGACTATCAGGAAGCTTTGAGTTTGGACGAACATCTGCAAAGAGCCAAAGAGGGTATTGAAAAAGCCAAAAGACTGCAAAAACAAGCCGAACGTAGAGACTATTATAAGATATTAGGTGTTAAGCGCGATGCAACAAAACAGGAAATTGTCAAAGCCTATCGTAAGGCAGCACAAAAATGGCATCCGGATAATTTCCAGGGTGATGAAAAGAAAAAGGCTGAAAAGAAATTCATTGATGTGGCTGCCGCCAAGGAGGTACTCACAGACCCGGAAAAGCGAAGACAATTTGATCAGGGTATAGATCCATTGGATCCTGAGGGTCAACAGGGTGGTCATGGTGGTTTCCATGGCGGTTCACCATTTGCTCACTTCCATCACGGGTCACCGTTCCAGTTTAAGTTCCATTTTAATTAACGAGACCATTTTTATGATGAAACCACACACACAAACACATATAAAAATGGCATCCTAAGCTTAATCCATTAGTCAAGTTTATTTTTTTGTTATATAAGTTTTTAGTCATAGTTAAGAAATTGCTGATCCTTTCTAATCCCCCTTTCTAACCCTGAAAACGATCTTCTTTTTTTTATTTGGTATCTTCAATTTGAGTTCCTTTGCTAACAAACAAATGGTCATTTTTCGAAAGCATTTATTTTTTCACTAGACATTTGTTTTTGTAACTAAAATATTTGCAGCAAAAATTATCATTAAAAAAATGCTAATAATTTCACAATTCTAATGTGAGCCAGAGCCGGTGATATTTTTTTCTTCAAGACGCAGTGTGATGATGTTAGTAGAACAAATTTGCCATCATATCAGTTTATTTTTTGTTTTTCATTTGTAAGCTTTGTTAACACGATTTTCTTCTCTCTTTCTATTTTCTTTATACGCTCCCCTTTTGTTAGTGTAAATAGTTAATAAATTAGGCTATACAATATAATTAAATTAATAATAATAATATAAAAACGAAAAAAAATAAAAAACGATTTTCCAAAAAATAATAAATAATTTGTACAACAACAATTAATTTATTTTATGATAAAGTAAAGAAGAAAAAACTCCACGATCAACAAAAAAAAAATTAATTATGATATTCGATAAAAAAACGATTTCTTTTTAATAAAAAGCATTAAAAAAACAAAGTTAACAATTAGCCAAATTAAAGACTTTCATTTTATGGCATTCAAAAATAATTAGAATGGAAAATAAATATTTAACGATGAGATCTTATAGACGGGAGTCTTTCATATAGACGAGCTGAAGGGAGTCTTTCATATAGACGAGCTGAAGGGAGTCTTTCATATAGACGAGCTGAAGGGAGTCTTTTATATAGACGAGCTGAAGGGAGTCGTTCATATAGACGAGCTGAAGGGAGTCTTTCATATAGACGAGCTGAAGGGAGTCTTTCATATAGACGAGCTAAAAGGAGTCTTTCATATAGACGAGCTGAAGGGAGTCTTTCATATAGACGAGCTAAAGGGAGAAGATAGACTTTCAGAGACGATCAGAAGGGAGACTTTCAGAAACGATCAGGTGAGTGAACAGTGGATATGCCGGATAGATGTTATGCCCCAAGCCATCAGTTCGCGCCCAATACGTTAGCGGACCACACCGGAACCGAATAGGCAGTTTGCTTTCCCTTATCAGATCCCCAACTGCATGGCGAAAAAGTGAGAATTGAGAAGCTTGTTCTCGCGCAAACAACATATAGAGACCATGTGAACCGCACAACCTGATAGTAATAATTAGCGGTCGGAATTATAAGAATACATTAGCGGACCACACCGGAACCGAATAGGCAGATTGCTTTCCCTTATCAGATCCCCAACTGCATGGCGAAAAAGTGAGAATTGAGAACCTTGTTCTCGTGCGGACAACTTATAGAGACCATGTGACCCGCAGAACCTGATAGTAATAATTAGCGGTCGGAATTATAAGGACCCCATAACCGGCCAATTCAATTGTAGCCGCATTTCCGATGTCCAAGTGCATAAAATAGGGAGTGTAGCCGGAACATACTTCTATGTTGAAATATATCTGCCAGGAGTATGTATGTACTCTGACGACAAATTTAATACACAGATGTTACATTAGAGGAGATCGAAGAAACAAAGAAATCGAAATCGAGAATACTACTGTCAATAGAAGACTTTAGAAAATCTGCTGTCCATTAAAGACCTTTAGAAGGTATTCCACTGAAGGCCTATAGAAGTTCCTCTGCTTATAAAAGGCTCTTAAAACCTACTCTGTCATTACGAGCTCTTTAGAAGACCTTTAGAATGGCCTCTGTCCTTAGAAGACCTTTAGAACGCCTTGTGTCCATAGAAAAACTTTAAAGTAGTCTTTCCCAGGTGGTACTTTAAGATTTGTAACGCCTTCCTTCTTCAGACCTTTAGTCCTCTGTCCATAGAGGACCCTTAAATATTTTTAAATCTCTCTTTCTGACCATAAAAGACGTTCAGATGGTCTACTGTCATCAGAATACCTTTCGAAGCTCTTCTGTCCATAATATACCTTTAGAGGGCATTTTGTCCGATAAAGACACACATAATTGCTTCTGTCAAAAAAAAAATGCTACTCTGTTATTAGAAGCTCTACGATTTATAGAAGGTATATTTTCTCTTCTGCAGAAGACTTAAGACTTAGGGTTTTACAATATCTTCTGTCCATAGAAACCCTTTAAAAGGTCGCCTCTCCATAGAAGACCTTTAGACGGCGTTTAGTCCGTCTCTTGGTCCATAAAATTTATAAGACATCTCATATTTAAAATAATGTAAACAAATAATTTTTCGCTCTTTATTTATAAAACAAACATTTTAATTCGAATATCAAAAAATACAATCTTTCATTACAAAAACGACACTTATTTTATCGACCATTTAAGTTGTGTTTCAAACAAAAAAAGGAGCCTTGTGAAATAATCAAAGACATACCGGAAATAGGTCGCATACAAAGAAAGAAAAAAATACACTGGGTCCAATTACAAAAACAAAAAACTTTAAATCTCAAAATAGAAAATTAACATAGAACATAGAAATAAATATACATAAATAAATCTAAACACTTTGTATAAAGAAAACATAAATAAATATGGCTACAATAAAGACGGAAATTATAATAAATGTCTGCTTGAGATGATATTTCTCTTCCATGGCCATCATAAATTGGCGGAATGGTGATTCTTCCTGCTCGGGTGCATTGACATAAGAACGACGTGCTGAGATGGTGGCGCTGCCACCACTACCACCACCACCACCTATGGTACGACGATTATAGGCAGCAGCAGTTTCACGTTGACGAAATGCTGACGTCTTGGGAGGTGTAATTTTTGTGGGTCCAATTGAATGGCGTATGGGTGTTGCCTTGAGTGTCTCCAAATTACGTGCAAATTGGCTAAGAAATGGTGTCTGTAGATCTTCTTTTACGGGACTATCTTCCACCAAGACTACATCATCTTCGTCGTCGTCATCGTCCAATTCCTCTCCCTCATCCTCATATTCGACATCGTATGGATCGGGGGTGCTAACATATTTTTGTGTAACTCCCCCTCCTACTCTTGGTTGATAAGTTGATGCAGCGGAAATTGTAGTTCTTGATGCTGGCTGTGGTACTGCAGCTGCTGTTGGGGGTTGATAGGTTTTACGTACACTGGTACTGGTGGAATTGTTCAACACGGTTGTGGAACTTGGCTTGGTGTTGCCGCTGTAGTTATATGAACTATTTAAAGAACTGTAACGTGTACTGGAACTTAATGTTGAAGCCAAGGGTGGCATTGATGCCGATGTTGTCACCTTAGATTCCGATAGAGGCACATAGCTGGTGGCACTGTAAGATGGTACACTTGATACGGGTTTCTTCATTATTTCTTGCTCAATTTCTTCCTCGGTCGAATCGATATCATCAATGGGTTCGGCATAAGTTTTATTAACACTTGACTCCTGTATATACGATGTAGATACCACACCAGTTTTACTCAACACCTGCGGTTTGGGAGATGGCTCTTTGGCCGGTAATTTTGGATACAAAGTAGGCTTCTCGGGTGTCTTTGCTTTTGGCGGCAACATTTGTGTCAAAACCACCTCACCGCGATCAGGTGAAACATCTGAATATTCTGGTTCACTAACCGTGGTGGTTGTGGTTACATGCCTTTCCGTGGCTGCTATGGTACGTCTAGATGGTCTGTTGGCAGCCGTTGGTTTTCCACTGGTGGTTGTGTTGTTGTTATTATTCAATGCAGCAGCGGCTGTAATTTTAGCAGATGACGCCATTTCTGATGGCTTTGAGACATGCATTGTTTCGCGACGATTTGTCTTATTGGGAGTTGTGGTGGTAGCGGGTTTACCCGACATTACAGCCTCCAAGCGGCGTATAAGAATTTTACGACTCGAATCGGTCACCGGTACATTGGGCATACCGAATTCGATCATTTTTTGACGCAATTCTTTGTTACTCAAGGATTCCAGAGCGGCCATGATGATTTATTTTTTCCCAGTTTTTTTGTTCTTTCGAATATTGGGAGGGGGAACGAACAACGAAGTGTTTAGACAACAAAAAAAACAACAACGAATCGAAGACAATCCACTTAAAACGTTTAATTCCGATTTAAAACACAAAAGACAGGTTTCAAACTTGTTCTGTTGCAAAATTTAGCCAGAATGAATGAATTTCAAAAAATTTGGCAAAAGAAAGCCAAACACAGGGTTGTATTTGCAGTGACTAATTACACAAAGCTATGCAAAGTTGAATGGTGACGCCGTTGGCAATAATGATTACCAAACAAAAATCAAGTTTCAACAGGTTACCAAAAAAAATGTGTTTTGGAGTTTAAATTCCGTTGAATGTGGATTGAGGACTTGTTGCGTCTCTTTTATAATTACAATAGAGTTTAAAAAATTCGTAGATATAATGGGACGAGTTTAATTGTTTATTTCTTTAAAAAGGAACTAGTTGAATCCTTAAAGTACGTTTAGATTTACGAAATCCCCTCGATCACACTTGATTTGTGAACATGATTAAAGTGACGTATATGCTATGGAATTGACATTTAAGCACACTTTAACTGATTGAACTAGTTCTTTTTTTTAAGGAATGAAGAGGGCTGGATTAGCTCCAGTACAGTATGTCTTATATGACTTAACACTCCAAATTTGAAATTTTGCCACTTTTTGAGTACGGAAACAGAGAAAATATGTGGATATCAGAATGGGGACGAAATATTTTTCGGAGACTCCACAACGTATTTATATTCTTTATCAGAGTAAAATTCGATTTCGTATTAGCAATGTCATTCTGCAGAAATTACGATTGAAATCGCAATGCGTAACATAGAGCCTTGAAATTGTTCACATACCCTGCTTCTACTTCTATACACCAGATTTTTCCTGTCCTATAAAAACTTCATTTAGTTAGCCTTTCATTGAGATAATGAAATTGCAATATCTAAGATAGAGCCTTGAAATTCTACACATACCCTGCTTCTACTTCTATATACCAGATTTTTCCTGTCCTATATAAACTTCATTTAGCTAGCCGCCTTTCATTGAGATTATAGAGTTACTTTAAAAATTATCAGTATGCAGCTCGGCTGTACGGCTTTCGCCAACAGACGTTGCCTGCTTCAGCTCGTCTATAGAAAATTCATTCAGCCCCTCTACAGAAAATTCATTCAGGTAGTCTAAAGAGGAGTCGGTTTACAAATGTCCATCCGTTCGACAATTCTCGAAGGGATCATTCCAAATTTGCACATCGTAACAAGTATACCAAACATAGATTAAGTTCGAAGATGAAGGATATCGGTCCATTCCTTTTGGCATCTCCCCCACAAAGTGTTTGACCATTTGAGCTGAAAATGCATTTTATAATATCGTGCGAACAGAGCATCCGATTCATATTAAACTTAGCACAAGCTTATATTTTTAACCATGCCAATATATTGTTGGGTGATGGGACTTTTAGGTCTTGTGCGCATCTCCTCCAATTTGAAAGACCACGTTCCAAGATGTTGTTTTTTACTTGGTCTTTACATCTAATTCGTGGCCTTCACCTCCTACGGGAACCATCAGTAGGCTCGCTTTTATATGCCTTTTGAGCTGGGGCCTAGCCACCGTAGTCGCTGAAGCTCAATACGACGTACTATGTCGATGTCGGAGAATTTTTCTTTCAAACACCGCAAGAGCTGCGCAAGTACTCATGCTTCAAATCCATATAACAGGGTAGTATCGTAATATTTCTTTCAAACTTAAATCAAGTTCGAAGATGGGACCCATCGGTCCATTTTTTCTGGTACCTCTCTCACACAAAACAGTCAATATTTTGTTGAAAATTAATTTTAGGCGAATAGACCTAAACATAGCATATCCTAATATTTTAATCATGTAAGTATAGTGTTGGAATATGGGATTTATCGGCCCACTCCTTCTAGTATTTCCCCCACAGAGGGTCAACATTTTGAAAACATGAAAATCTCATATGAGGCGGAATTTCCAATATCATGCAAACTTTGCTCATCCAAACTTTACATATATCAGACCTAAATATGGGTCCGTTAGTTCACTACTTCCGGTAACGTCTAATTTGATCCAAACTTAGCAAATACTTGGCCTAGAGTACCTATACAAATACTAAACTTTTTTATTTTATTTTTTATTTAATATTTGTTTTTAATATTTGTCTATTCTTTTTTTAAAATCTTGACTTTATGTCCCCATAAAAACCCAATTTAAAAAAAAAAAAAACAATTTTCATTTATTTTCTCTCTTCTCAATCATCGACTGTGAACCTCCCTATTGACAACTCTCTGGCATACCAGCAGTAATCACCAAATACAACCCTAAGCATATGTTTTGATTGAAATCCACCACCAGAGGTCGTTGTGCAAATGTCAAATCTATGAAATGACAGCTCTATCATGCCTTCTCTCTTTCGCCATTTGTCAAGTTTCCGGTACGTACGCGATTTTTGTGTTTTTCTCCAAAAAAATTAAAAAAATATGTAAAAAATGCCTTAAACTAAATAAAATTCATGATTGATATGACAAAAGAGCAATGCCAGAATGCAAATAAATAAATATTATGTGCCTAATTACAAATTCAAGCAAGATGTTTCAAGATGAAAAATAATGCCAAGCAGCACTTCAACAATAATATTGATGAAGATGATTGGATGTGTGTTGAAAGGGAATACTAAAATGAAGGAAGATGATAATAATGACGAGTGTGTGTATAAATAATGACATTTAATGAATTTTAATCAAGTTTAAGGCAATGTTTACAAAACAGTGAAATCGGGGAAAAACAACTACAACAAAAAATCGATGTCCTTTTCTTGACGAGAAGAGATGAAATATACTGACTCTGGATTGTTTACTTCTCTTGCAGGTTAAACTATGGCTGATACACAAGCTGCCGCTGCTGCCCCCGCCAAGGCTACCAAGGCCACTAAGGCTGCCAAAGCCCCCAAGGCTGCCAAGCCCGAAAAGGCTGCCGCTGTCAAGAAGGCTGCACCCAAATACAAGCGTCATGGCCGTCTCTTTGCCAAGGCTGTCTTCACTGGCTACAAACGTGGTTTGAGAAATCAACACGAAAACCAAGCTATCTTGAAGGTAAGGATTGAAAATTCCGATTTTTGTTTCTTAGAACTATTCTAAATTTGAGTTTGGTTTATGTTCTCCTTGTTATTTTTTAGATCGAAGGTGCCCGCAGAAAGGAACATGGTCAATTCTACATTGGCAAGCGTTGTGTTTATGTTTACAAAGCTGAGACCAAGAAGTGCGTTCCTCAACACCCAGAACGTAAGACCCGTGTACGTGCCGTTTGGGGCAAAGTAACCCGCTTGCACGGTAATGGTGGTTGCGTTCGTGCTCGTTTCAACAGAAACTTGCCTGGTCATGCTATGGGTCACCGCATTCGCATTGTAAGTATTAAAGAATTTTCTTTTTTTTTCAATATTGGGTATGTCAAGGAATGTGTAAAATAATGGAACACTGGGTTACATCACTGTTTATTGGGATGATATCCTGGCCCAATGAAATATCGTAAACCTGCTCTAGTATGAATAGAAGTGGGGGGATAACAATATAGAATCATGTTGGCTTCTCAGGCAATTGTATCAAAACATTGATGAACGTGTGCCCGAAGATCTGTTGTGTATTGTTGTTGCATTAGTAGTATATCAAGTTTGGAAACAGCTGATAAGAATTTTAACCACCTTATGAGGTTAACAACAGACGTATTTGAATAACTTCAAACAAAAACAAATCAAACCTTTTTAAAAAATACTTTCAGACTTTTTCTCTAAAAAAATGTCAGCTTATTTTTTAAAGATGTTTTCTGTATCGGCACACGAACTAGACATCTTTTTTTGTAATATCCTTGATTAATTTGAATTTATGATTTTGACATATTGACCAATTCCTTAAAAAAAACAAATGATTTAATCATTTTTGAAAATGTAAATTTTATTTAAAAAAATTGTACTAATTTTTTATTATTTTTTTCTTCCTCTCATTTCAGATGTTGTACCCCTCAAGGATTTAAGTTGTTTACACTTAATTTTTGACGCTTAAGTTTTAAATCCAAAACAAGACCTATAAAATTTTATATTAAAAAAGAATAAACAACAAACTTAAAACCTGAACCACACCAATGTTGTATAGTGTTTATATTATTAAAAAAATTAAACAAAAGAAACTTTGTTATATTAAAGTTTTATGATGTACAAGAAGAAATTAAAGCAAATATTTTGTTTTTAAAGGATATTTAAATCTTACTACCGAAATATTTTGTAGGAGATTTGACGAAATCATCTCGGTTGGTGAAGTTCTTAAATTAGGTGACTGTTCTACTAATGACAACAGGCTTGAATTAGCGAAATGTTTCTATTTAAAATAACCCGATTTTTTTTTGTGGAAGAAATGGTCATCGAAATGTTTTTGTATTTTTTAGGTTTTATGCAAAACAAATTGTCGCTTTTTGATTTCACATTGACGAATTTTCCTATGTTTCACGCAACGAGTTTGATTTTCCAATGTTAAAAAACTGTCAGTACATCGTAAAGTTCGGCAGGACGGAACTTTTTTTTATACCCTCCACCGTTATATGGGAGCTATATCGAAACCGGGCCGATATTAATATTTTTAGTGGGGAAATTTTGCACCCCATTAGATTAAAAAATACGACATTGCCAAAAAGGCGGAATATTGGTGATTGCCGCATACTCGGGGCTACCCCGAAACATAATTTTTATACCCACAGCCTTATGGCTAATGTGGTGGCATACATTTGATACGGTGAAAATGTGCCTCATTGAAATATTGGTTTTAGACCCCCATGTTTCTTTGGATCAAATCAGTTTCAGAAAATTTGGAGTCGATTTAGACATGTCTGGCTGGCTGCTGCCCACGATAAATCTCGAAGGGAATAATCGATTTCATCCAAACTTTGCACATCCTTATATTTCTTCCAAACTTAGTTTAAGTTCGGTCCACTCCTTCTGGTACCTCCCCACAAAATGGTCAAAATTGTGCTAAAAACTAATTTTATAGTAACATGCAAACGGACTATCCGATTTTAACGAAACTTTGTACAACCTATTGTCTTTACCAAGCCTATATCAAGTAGGAAGATTGGACCCATTGGTCCACTCCTTCTGGTACCTCCCCCACAGAGGGTCAAAATTTTCAATATTTATAAATCCAATATCAGGCGAATGGAATGGCCGATTTAAACCAAACATTGCATAACCTATTACCTTTGCCAAGCCTATTATTACCTTTGAATGGCCTATTTAAACCAAACATTGCATAACCTATTACCTTTGCCAAGCCTAGATCAAGTTTTAAGATGGGACCCATTAGTCCACTCCTTCTGGCACCTCCCCACAAAATAGTCAAAATTGTGCTAAAAAATAATTTTATAATAACATGTAAATGGACTTTTCGATTTTAACGAAACTTTGTACAACCTATTATCTTTACCAAGCCTAGATCAAGTAGGAAGATTGGACCCATTGGTCAATTCCTTCTGGTACCTCCCCGACAGAGGGTCAAAATTTTCAATATTTGTAAATCCAATATCAGGCGAATGGAATGTCGGATATGAACTAAGCATTGCGCAACCCATTATATTTGCGAAGTCTAGATTAAATCCGAAAATCGAACCCATTGGTCTACTCCTTCTGGTACCACCCCCACAAATGGTCAACATTTTCTATATTTGTAAATCCAATATCAGGCGAATGGAATGCCAGATTTGAACCAAACCTTGCACAACCTATTATCTTTACCAACCCTGTATCAAGTCCGAAGATGGGACCCAGTAGTCGACTCCTTCCGTTACCTCCCTTACAAATGGTCAATATTTTTATAAAATTTGATCAGCATTAAATCCGAAACATCTTAGATAAAAACATATTTCTTATATAAAGCTAATAATAAAATATAAATGTAATTCCGAAGACCCCGCAAACCATAGGCTGGGGGTATATATCTGTCGGCGACACCAACTGACAATTTTTACCCGTTATATATATATATTTGTTAATAAAAGTCAAAACGGCAAAATAATTTGACGGGTAATGTGGACCCGGTTACAGGTTGTGGGTTACCAGTGATATATTTCAACTTATTTCAATCTTGGTTAACTATGAATGCTAAAATATATGAGCTTATCTTTTTGAATAGCCCCCATTTAAGGATACCAGCCCATTTGCAGTATTTTGAAGGTTCTAGCTTTGTTATTCAACCAAAGCAGCTGTAATTTCGCATATCAAGTTCTCAGATGTTAGAATACCTCCTCACAGAAATATATTTAATATTGGTACAAATTTTTAACTATTCCTAATGAAAAGGTCCAGCTTTTTACATTACCCGTCTTTGTTTTTTTTAAACATTATTTTCGGATTAAAAAAATAAATAAAAATTAATTTCATTAGCCGGTTATTTGGGATACCATTTGTATTTTGTTTTTGCAAAATAGTCAGGCTGAATCCAGTTTGTTGTATTTATAAAAAACAACTATTTATTAGTGGGGAATGTATGGCATTGTCCGCCAACGAAAAGTACTTCTCATTGGGGTCGTGTCGCTGGTAACGTAAGAACTTCGAATTGTCACAAGAGACATTTGGGTATAAAAGGTTTTTTGCAAAGAAGCTATAAATAGCTTCTGGGGAGAATATCCAAACAAAAACTAAGGGAACTGATGAGGATCAGTGGCGAGATCCGTAACTATAGTTGTCTTCCCTGCCTTACCCCTCGGCGGACAATGCCATACATTCCCCACTAATAAATAGTTGTTTTTTTTATAAAAACAACAAACTGGTATTCAGCCTGACTATTTTGCAAAACCAAAAATTAATTTCATATTTTTACAGGAGTTTTCGACAGCTTTCCTTACCAATTTAAAATTAACATAACCTGTACAATTTTAAATAGTGGTGTTTGCTTCATCTTAAATATTGTAATAAATTATCGCAAGAGAAAACGTTAAAAGATTCACAGTGGGATTGGTCAATATATCAGTAGTCCTGTATGTGTAATATTCAAAATCGGAAACTGATTACAGATTAAAAATCATAAAATAAAGTTTACTTACGTGTATGCCCATCGAATGGCAATATTCTGAAGTTAAGAATCTGAACAATGGCCTTTTTGGGGTGCAAACAAATTACAAGTTTTTTTCTTCATATTGACAAATAATCCAAAATGATATAATTTTTTTAATTAATTTCCACAATTTTCTTCAAACCGACAATCAATTTTTTTATATTAAATATTTGCAATAACTATGGTTTAATAACCAAATTCCACTATTATCACGTAAATAAAACAAGACCAAACATGCAATTTCCAAAATTTCACAGAAAAATAACGTTATAATTTTCTTTTATTTACATTTCGAAGGGTTGTAAAATTTGCCACCAATGAGAAAGCTTTAATGTAACAGAGTTGTATACAAATGTAGTTAACGCTTATCACAATTGAAACGTATGGCGTATAACAAGAGAGGTATGTAATTTTAAATGACACGATTTAATTAAAATTGCAAAAAAAAATATATATATATAAATTGAGTAATTTTCCATTATATGTCAAATGAATATAATTGTTAACAATATTTTTCATTAAAATAAATATGATCAATACCTTTAGTGTTTAAATTATGGCTGGTAATATAAATTGTCGCCTCAGCCTTTAAAGTTTGAAATAGAAAATTAAAAATTAGAAATAAAATATCGAAACAATTTATTTTAATTTTTCTTCAGAATTATAATTTGAAAACTGCAGATACATCTAACAACGAAATTTTATTTCTTTAATTTTGAATGGAGTATTTTGAAATGGCACAACCTCTTGTTATACGTCATACGTTTCGATTGAGGTTATAGTTCAATACATTTTTCTACAACTCCGTTGTATTGAAGTTTTCATTTTTGGAGGCAAATTTTACAAAACCTTCAAAATGTAAATAATAAAATTGTTTAACATTATTTTCCTTATGGAAATTTTAGGAATTATGTACATGTTTCATCTTGCTTAATGTGAAATTGTATTTAACCCATCTGCTTGTATTAACACCGCCATATGGATATCAATGGTAAGTACATAAATCATATTATATCGTTTTGCTCAATCTGAAATCTGTTTCCAAAGTTGACTTCACAGTTTAAGATTTTAGGAAGCCTCCAGGAACTATGGAAGATTTGAATTTTTCCCTCCGCAAAATGTTAAACGAACATCATAAATCTGGTCTTAATATGTTTGTGGAAAGCATTCCATTTACCTCGTTCCCTATTCCAAAGTATTTTGTGGTACTCATTCGCCCTTGATCTCCTCACTTGTTCAAATCAATAGGGTAAGTGCACCAATAGTCGTTACTTTAAGGATTTTGGCATTTTAAACGTTTCACCATCCCGAGAGCATTATTTTCACTATATTGTATCATATGTTTCCAAATTTTGTTTACTCCTCGATGCAATAAACGTATTGTATAATTTGTATTAAAGAAGATTCAATTGATAAGTAGGTAAATTAGTGCCTTTGGGCCAATAGTCGGCATGTCGTATTTTAGTTAAAACAAAAATGATTTAATTAATTATACCCTTCACAACTATGTTGTCAGGGTATTATAGCTTTGTGCAGCCCCAAATGTTTCAATCTAGACATGTGTGTCCGTCCGTCCGTCTGTCCATTATAATTTGTAAACACGATACAGGCCACAGTTATGGACCAATCTTCAAGAAATTTTGCATGTAGGGTGGGTTGTGGCCAATGAAGACCCCTATTGTTTTTGAAAGAGATCGGTTAATATTTAGGGGATAAAATGGACCAAAAACTTTATTTTTGTCGGTTTTTCTGGTCGCTCCATAGGCCGCAATTATGGCCCAAACACCGGAAATTTTTGCATGGAGGAGGGGATCGGGCCAAAGAATAAGCATGCCTGTTTTGATAAAGATCGGTGTGAAAAATGACAAAATTTGTATCCTATAGCGTATAGATTTACCCCTGAAGGACATGACCCGAGAAGTTGATAGTATATCCTAGATGAATGGTTGACCTTTAAACTGATACAAATTTTATTGTCGTATGTACTCGGTTGTGGAAGTTACACTTAAATGTTTACAGGTGCTTACGTACTCAGATATT